TGTATGCGGGATCGACTCTCATGGGCCAAGCAAAAACCGTAGACAAAATCACAATAATTAAAATTAGACAACATAAGTTTTTTCTCAAAAGTTTGCCTAGTACATTTCTGTTATTTAGTGAGCAGTACATTTTTTTAAAAATCGATTTTAAATGTTCCTTAATGCGAGCCTGAATATTCAATACAACCCCCAAATTATTTGCTGTAAGTATAAATTTTAATTTAGTGTTATTAAGTTTAATGTTAAGTCTACTGACTAAAGGCATATATTTTTTTTACTTTCAAAAAACGACCTGTATTTTTTCCACTAAAATCACTCTGATATTAAACTAGTCCATCTCAGTCAATATGAATGAATGTCTTTTTTATTTTAATAACTGTGGTGTTTTGTGTTGTGCATTTTTCAAGTGGCTGAGGTTAACATATTAACAGATTCAAATAGCAGGCTGAAATGTTCAGTCGCATTTATGCTTTATGCGTTTATGCTGCTTTTTATGATTATAGATTTCTTCTTCGGTTTGGCGAGGAAATTATATATTTTTTTACTCCCGTCTGTAAAATACCTAATTACACACCGATCTAGCGTGCGGGAAGCGTCACTTTACCACGTCAGTTTCGTTTCCCACGAATGTTTCCGGAGATATTTCCCACGCTTTGAATTTTGACGTTTGTCAATTCTGACGGTCATGTCAGTGAATGTTTTGAGAAAATATACCCAAAAACTAACGGTCGTAGAAAAACTATTGTATTCAACACGTTCGGCAAACTTTTTAAGCCACTCGTTTATTAAACACTCGCTTCGCTGCCCTCCGCTCGTGTCAAACTCGTGAGTGAAATGCCGTTTACCGCACTTGTTGCATAATATACTATTTCGCTCTCTCGGAATACAAGACAGTTTCTATGTTTCATCCAAAACTGATTTTTAAATATTTATACAATTTTATTTTACCAATAAATATTTTGTAAACCCTTTTACTTTGTGAAATAGAATAGGAAAAACCAACGTATGTTTTAATGGTGATATAAGAATAAAAAAAAAGTAAAAACATCCAAAGCGTGCAATAATGATATGCTGTTATATTTTTGTAAAAATATTTATTAAATTCCCGTAATTATTTTCTAACCTCTAACCACAAAGATCGAGTTTACTTACAAATCACACAATATGTTAGAATTAAAAAAATTAGACTGTTTGTGAATTAGAATGTTTGTGATTTGTTTCCCAGTTTCTCTTTAATTTCCAAAAAAAATTATTATGTATTGTTACCTTTTATGCTTACTTTATTTTTTTTTTTAATTTGAGTCGATCCCGCATACTTACTCTAAAAAATATTTAAATCTAGGCAACCGAAAGTCTGGTTGGAAGATGGGAAAATATTTTTCATTTAACTGAATTTCCCAACAAGGTTTTCCTAAAGCATACCTGTTGAACTAATGTAATGTGTTATCATTATTTCACGTTACCATTCGGATTAACTAATTTGATAGCGTGGAACTGTTGGACATCGGTGCTATAGTATTATGCCTACCGAAATTTGACACCTTAATATTATGACTGATGCAGTGCATCAGGACAACGGCTTAAGTAAATTAATCGCTTGGTAGTGCTTAACTAAATTTTCATATATAACAGTAAATCGTAAATTTTGATTTGAAAATTAATATTAATTTTAAAATAAAAAAAAACATAAATATTTTGAAATACAAATCATTAGCAATTTATTAACAAAAGTGCTATGTGAAATTTCATTAAAATACGTAGAGAAAAACATTTAATTTTTAAACGCTTTGCCATCTCAAGCCGAAAACCCAGCATGTCTATCACATTCTAAGTTCAATTTCATTTTTTTTTTCTGCTACCAATTCGCGACCCGCGCCATTTCTTCAGATGACTTAATCTACAATAGAATGCTGAATAATTCACTAGGGAAATGCATTCCTTGTAGACCAAATACTGACACTGCAAAACAGAGCCATTAGATATATGACCAGCTCTACATCTTTTCACAAGAAACTTGTTAGGCAGGTTGACAACCTGGCAGCAAAACCCCCAATACATACAAATTTGTATTCATACTATACTTTTTACAGCAATAGATAAGATAGCCTAATATGTTTCAAATGAAAGAGAGAAAAGGAAAAAAAAGTTATTTTACCAGCCTGAATTTTTTTTAAATAACTGCTACAGATAATATGCTTCTTCTGGTTTATCTCCATTGTTTTTTGGGTTTTTGTTAGTAATATGTCTTGTTACACTTTACTTTATATATTTATATCTGTATGTTATACATTACTTCAATTAGCAATATACACATTTTGTATGTTCGATAGTGTAAATAAATCTATATCATTTATTATCATATTGCCGTATTTTTAACTGAGTTTTTATCAGCCCTCTCATTTAATCCTTTCACTTCACTAAGCAACCGCATAATCCGATATTTACGCTATTGACTATGTACGTGCGCAATAATGAAGCAAAAGTAAAGAAATTTTGCGTAATATCAAATGTGAAATTCAATTGATACATTTGAAATTAAACTAGCAAGCGCTGAAATCAAAAGTTGTATTATTATTAAAGGATTATGGTAGGCTGCTGTTATGGGTGAAATGATATTGTTTAGAAATATCAACTGTATATATGTTTATTTATTGTAAGGGTTCATTTTACAAGTGCGACAAAAGTAGAACAACTCTACCAATTGAAACAAGTAAAAGGAATTTACTATAAATGTTAATTTAAATTTTGCAGGTTTATTAAGCTTTATAGTTCCTATTTTTGTAGAAATAAATATGCCTAATAAAAACCCGATCTCCATGGAGATGCAGCAAATGGTATTAAACGCCTTATTAGAAGAAATGTTAAGATTGCGATTTCCAAGTATTTTAACTTGACAAAATACAGTGTTTCAAGAATGATTCCACGTTACAATGAAAGGCGGCATGTAGGAAAATTACCAAAATCAGGAAGGCCCGGGATAATATTTTAGATTGATAGAAGAATCAAAAGGATTTCTCAGACAGATCGGTTGTTGCCAAGGCCATAGATAAATGCTGAAATTCCTGCTCTGCAAGTTAATGCGAGGACTGTTTAGCAACGAATAGTTGAGAAGAAACTTTATAGTGGACGTCCAAGCAAGGAAACCATTGATTTCTGAGAGTAATCGTCTATCGTCTATAGATATAGATAGATATAAAAAAAAGAAACATATAAGAATATTACGCTAGAAATAAAGTATGAAAAAGGGTTTTGGGGTTATTTTTCGTAGAGTAGAATGGAGCGGGTCTATTACACTTTATAGAAGAGACTATGGATATACTGGTATACAGGATCATAGTCCAAAATATACGTTGCCATATACTGAGTAGGAGATGCCACTGCGATTTGTATTTCAGCAAGACTATGATGCGTAACATTTATCTCTTCAATGCCCACCACAGTCATGAGAAGAGGTAGAACGTCAAATTCTAGTTAGAAAATTCTCAAATAAACAGTTTATAATTGATAAGATTAACGAAGTTGGGACGATTATGGCAATTATTAATTTTATCAATGTCGCGACGTTGCCAAAAAGTGATAGGGCACAATGGATATCCAATTAATTATTAAGAAAATGTGTCAAGCTCTCAACTGTATTTCTTGTTCTTCGCGAATTTAAATGAAATGAAATATTGTCCTTTCAATAGTTGATTTATTTTTGTCGCCCCAATAAAGTATTATATTGAAATGATTTATTACATAATATTAAGTTACTTTACATTTGAAGCCACTTTTATTATATAGTAATCTCAAACTTCATCGTGTTGGCTTTCCCAATAAAACTTTAACGATGTTATTACCTATTGTTATTGGGTAAAGCCATTAACAAAAAAAAATCTTACTTGAGTGACAAGGCAGGGGTGGGTCAGGTATACTTTTTTCAAAACTCTCAGAGGAGAGCACCTTCAAATAAAGGAAAACGCATCACCCATATATATAATACACGCTGTATCAGAAGATGGATTTGCCTCAAACTGCTTACTGTTGTTTGCAAAGAATATTATAGATTCTAGCTTGGACTATCAAGAGTACTCAACTGCCGGACTTTCAAAAAATGTTCTCAATAACAGTGTAGCTACCACAGCCGTCATCAAGTTCAAAAACTAAAATCCAGGAATATTTGTTAGAGAAAAATATTTATTTTGAATTCCGTTACAAAAAAACGCAGCATTTGCAAATCCAAAATTCATATACAATTAAAAAACAGTAAGTATGCGATAATTGGGCTGAATAGGCTTGGCATACTGTTTTACGTCTTCCTCTATATCATTGTATCTTTAACCCCATAGAACATTTGTTTAATCAAGTAAAATCAAAGGTCAGATCAGAAAAAAGAACTTTAAGCCCCAGTGTTATAAATTTGATAAAAAAAGGTAATTAATAACATACCAATCGAGAACTGGAAGAAATCAGTAAAGCACATTATAAAAATTGAGGACTCTTACATTCCTATACAAAACAACATAAATCATATTATAATTAATCTCAATGACAACTCTGACATTTAGAATACAAATGTAAATATGTATAGATATTCCTAGCTATGAATCTATAGTATATATTTAGTCATTGTTTTTTCTTAGTGTAATTTAATAAGATTATACCCATCTAAATAAACAAAAAAAATTGTTATTACCAAAATCTTTGAGAATTCTTCCCTAACGTTCTGTCCTTTAATACCTACCGGACCCGGGTTTTATTGCCGTTGGCAGGTAACTCCCATAATTGCTAGCAAAAGTCGGCACGATGTAGTTGGATACAGACTACGCCTATAATAGCAGCCTACTAAAACTCTTTAAACTACCTGATTATTGATTTCCACAGTCATTAGCTGAATATCTATTTTTCATTGTATAAATAGCTTGGGTTTTGTGTGATAGTGTACTACATAAAAGTTCCGAACCGATTTCGGCTTAGACGTCACAATTAACATAACAATAAACGGTTCCAATGTATTGTAGGATGTTCCAGGCGGTCTTGTCGCATCCAGTCGCCCAATTATCCGGGGATTTACCCTAGGAACGTCTCGTGTCACTACAGGGTCCGCGAACGGAACGTGCCAGTCGGAAAACACGCTCTGATTGCGGTTCGGCAAGCGAATTTTCATTACAAAGAACACGTACCCAAATTCGACAACAGCGACAAATTACTAAGGTGAGTTTGAAACGAAGTTTTCTTGAAAATGATCAAAAATTAATATTTCACCAAGGCATGACAAAATTAACAAAACAGTAACTAACTTATTGGTATTACAATAAAAAAAAGAAGAACTTTAAAATCTTTATAAAATAAATGTCATACAAAATCAACTTAAAGAATATTCGACTACAAGAGAGTGTAGATAGGTTCCTGCACCTTCCGTTGTCTTAGTTTTTGCGAACGTGTAAAATACAGTCTATATTCTCGCAGTTTTAAAATTCTTCAATTTTTTTATTGTAATACCCATAACTTAGTTACTGTTTTGTTATTTTATAATATTTATTATATAATATTAATTTTTGATCACATTTGATATATAGAATGAAACTAAGGAAATATCTGATAACTAATAAAACCTGATTGCGAATGGTATCAATTCTATAGATCTATTTTACATGTTCGCAAGAATTAAACCAACGGAAGGTGCAGGAAACTTTCTACAGTCTCTTGCAGTCGAATATTTTCGGTTGATTTTGTTTGACAGTTATTTTACAAAGATTTTTAAATTATTCTTTCTTTTATTGAAATACCAGTAACTTAGTCACTGGTTTGTTATTTTGGTCATGCCTTGATGAAATATTAATTTTTGATCATCTTTGATATTGTTACGTTCCAATTTTCGACCTTAGGTCATATTTCCATTAAAGTAAAGAATTACCTAAGTATTTGGGTTTTATTAATTAAATCACGCTTCTCGTGCTAATTCCATTGTAGTGAGTTTGGTACCTTTCTTCAAATTAATCTTACTTTATGTTTCTGATTGCTTTCTTCTTTCTATCCGGGAAGATAAATCAGTCGTTACTTACAGATACTGTTTTTTGCCAAGCGTGTAACAGAAACCCAATGCCACACAGGGGGAATTCTGGTACATTCCGTCGCAGACCAGTGGCGCCCAATAACCCACCCCTACTCTCCGGCTAACTTAATTTACTTTGGTTGTCGTTGAGCTAGGGCATAAATTTGAGTGTTCCTTATATACATTTTTCTTTTTTTTTTAAATATTCCAATTTTTTAATTTAAATTTTCAAAAAAAACTATGGCAATATATAGTGAAACTAAGAAAGTTCTTGGTTTCATTCTATATATCAAAAATGATCATAAAATTAACATTTCACCAAGGCAGTTTCTTGCACCTTTCGTTGTCTTAATTCTCGCAAACATGTAAAACAGAGTCGCTAGGATAGATGCCATTCGCAAAAAATATTTATTAGTTACTAGGTATTTTCTTAGTGTCATTCTAGATACCTATTCAATATATCGAAAATGATCAACAATTAATATTTCACCAAGGCATGGCAAAAATAACAAAACAGTAACTAAGTTATTGGGTATTACAATAAAAGAAAGAACAATTTCAAAACCTTTATAAAATAAATGTCAAACAAAATCAACTGAAAACATTCGACTGCAAGTGACTATAAATAATATCCTAAACAATATCATTATTTTCCTCTTTACGGGTTGACTACTGTCCAATAAAATAATGTTTCTTACCGCACACCTTTTAATATTAATGAAAAAACTTTTCCAAATTTAAATAAACAACCACAAAACAAGAACATATTCTTTCATTGAAAAAACTCTACGCAAATTAGTGTTATAATGTTAATTAAAATTTCTTCTAACGAATAGATGCGTTCCACATTTGAAAATAAATCGTTTTTCTCAAAAGAACCATTTTGTTACATGTTTATCTTGTGATGGAATGAGTTTTTGTGCAACTATCGCTTGGAAAATGGCATATATATAATTTTTAGCTGTGGCAACCTGCTATTCCCCTGCTTAAAAAAAATTGTCAATGTAAATACACTATTTACTGACGGTCGTTAATACGCCGATAAAGTGGCAATTTACGGTTTTCTGTGAATAACTATGGCGCACAATACGCATTACCGAAAAAAAATATTGAGCGATTGACTACGTAAAAAGCACTTTATACAGGGTCCGCGCAAAAATAATATCGTTCTCAATTAAATTCAATCAAAAATGAAATTTACAAATTTATGAACTTTGGAACTAGAAAACGGCGAAATTGTAAAATTTGGCACTTGACACTCAATTTTCGCCATGAGATTGGAGTCGTTCATAGAAATAAGTAAGATGAATTAATAATAGCTGCATTCAATTAGTACAGAAATAGTGGAAAAAATATGTAAGTTTTCCCATGAAAGGCTCATTTATTAGAAGATAAATTTGTTTTCGTGATGCTTTCATAGAACTTTGAAACAAACATTACAAATTCAATGCCGTAGAAGCGAATTTATTTATATATATGTAAATAGCCATACATGACCATACCAGAATCTTAAGAATTGTTTTATCTTCTCCTTCCAGCCGATATTTTAATTAATTTTAATTAATACCAAATTCGACATTCGAAACTTCTGACATTATTATAAACTACTGCATCGTGGCAGAGCAGGAGACACTACATTGTTTGTTTTCGTTTTTTAAGTATTTGTAAAGGATTTAAATTGCCTTCAGTTATGTTTTGTGTTGAAAAGTGTTCTTATATATAAAAAATAAAAATATTCAGCTCTTTTTATTTCTTTAATACGAGGATTTAGCAGCAATTTATTATAGCTTCTTTTGTTTGACTATATTATAATACTTTTTACAAAACTTCTGGATTTCTTCTTCTTAGGTGGAACTTGCTGACTTTTCGCCAATCATCCTGTGGCTTTTTCAGAGCTTGATTGAAACTGGCTCGCATTTTACTCTGTACCTGCTGTAAACTACTGGCATCTCAAATTGAATTTTGTCTTTAAAGGATCGAAGATGTTGGGAGATTTTTGGACCAGTGGTACATCTGGTTTTGGCGTTGTTTCTTTAGAACTTTTGAAATGTGTTTAGTGATGTTTTGGATGTAAGGTTTCATTGCTATTGGAAAGTTGTGGTGAAGTGTATTTTGTGATAGAACGTTTAATCTTTAACGCGGAAATTATTAGAGAGAAGATCAAAGGTAAAGTGTTTTAATTCTGGGTTCAATCATCCGATAGTTTTACAGGAGATAGTTTTACGGCTCTCTAAACAAGATAGTTGATAACCGATGATTTTTGGGCCGGATAGTGATGTGACCATGCATTAAGATATCGGTCTGTGTGCGTAGTATGTAAACACAATGACCCAATCTAATTTTCTATTGATAAGAATATCTAAGAATGGAAGGTTATTATTAGTTTCCAACTCAATGGTAAAACGTATGTTAGGGTGCAAAGAGTTTAAATGTCTAAGAAAATCTACTAGGGTTTCTTGACCATGAGGCCAAATAATAAAAGTATCATCGACATAGCTTTTCCATAATTCTGGCTTAGATGTAAGGTGTCGAGAACTTTCTTCTCAAAGGCTTCCATAAATATATTCGCGATGACTGGTGATAGTGGAGAACCCATAGCTGTTCCCGACGCTTGTTCAAAAATTTGACCGTTATGAGAAAAATATGTTCCAGGCAAGCATTTTTCGATAAAGGTGAGAAGGTTTGATTCCAGATGCTCTATATCTGAAATGATATTGAAAGTTTCAATAATAGGAACTTTCGTAAAGAGGGATTCTACATTGAAACTAACTAGAATATCTTGTGTATCTAATGTAATGCTTTTTAATTGTTCAATGAAGTGAAAGAAATTAAGTACAAAACTATCAGTTTTCCCTGTAAGGGGTTTTAATAAGCAAGCTAGATATTTTGCTAGAGAGAATCAATGGTGCGGACAATAGATCGAAGGGGTAATAATGATTTGTGGATCTTTGGGAGTTCGTAGAGACGAGGAATTTTAGAGTCATGGGAGGTGATAGATTTTTTCATTGAGTCTGATAGAGAAGAAGCCTTAATAACAAATTTAAGATTGCGATCCATAGATGACGTAGGATCTTTTCAAAGTTGACGATATGATCTGTCTGTAAGAATATCTTGAACCTTTTCCTCATATTCATTTGTGTCCATGGCCACCTTTATCTGCTTTTAGGATTACGATGTCTGGATTTAGATTTTAGACATTTTAGGGCAATACGTTCAGCCTTTATATTATTTATATCATATATATTACATTAATAAACAGAGAAGTGGAATTGAACAAATGTCTTTTAAATGTATCGAAATGTTCTCGTAAACATAGTTTACCCACAAATAGCCATTATGGGTTGCAAATTTTGGCAAGATTAGTTTCATTTCTTTCTACTATTGCACGAAATTTGATAACACATTTGCTATGGGAAAACGAAGTTACGTAAAGAAAACATTGAATTCAAACAACCCCGCAAACCGAAAAGACGTTCTCCTTAATACGTATAGTCGACAACAATGGGTTACCATATCCTGCGACCTTTACTTAGCCAAGTTGTGCATCCTAGTCGGGGGATTATGCAAATTTTATGTTGTTTGATTGGAACGAAAGGACGAAATGGTTGAGACGAGGGGCGGACTTAACCAGTACCGGGATTAAAAGGCCTTATTAAAGCCGGAAATTTCGTATTACAGAAGTTCCGCTTTATTTGCCATCGGAAACAAAAATAGTTCCCAAACGACGGGCTTATCGGAAACGGAAATCGGAATTGAAACGCTAAAACATCAATTGGCTTTACAATTACGCTGAAAGGCAATTGTTGTTGCGGCCCAACTTGATGCTAGGAAACGACTTTCAGTGATGATCATTATTTTTAATATGACAACATATGCGTATCCCAAACAGAGCACAAAAGTACCTTTATTGAACTTCGCAGTAAAAAAAGTCATTACGAAAAATTATTCCAGCAACAGAATTCATGTGGTCCTATCTGGAAGGTCTTCACCAGTTATTGGTATATTCGGAGACAGAAACAAACCAAAACTAAGTAATGCATTACTCAGTTGCCTGGTCTAAATCCTATACCATTTTTTGAACTTTGCAAATACGCGCTTGCAAGAGAATATAGAAAAAATATACTTAACCCAGGACTGCCTGCAAACCTTCTAGAGATAAACGGGCTTTGATTTGCACACTACTAGCTAGAATATTTTAAGAACATTACCAAGATTTGACAAAATAAGTGGGCATATGAGACGTATCTATATGTAAAACTCAATAGTGCAGTCAAATATTCTACAGGAGCCATTAGCTTATAGTTGTAAAGTACACCCCTTTTCATTTATTGTATCATCAAAAACATTAAAACTAATACAAATTTAGTGTCTATTGGAGAAGGACATTGGTAGTATTTTTACTGAATGGTTTACGCTTGATTCGGATTCAGTCGTAATTTTATTGATCCTCTCGAAGTCACGACATGCAAAATACTATTTGTATATTACTGACGCTTTGGTAGAACTAGCGGAGATTATTTGGGGTAGGGAATTGGGTTTAAATAACACCATGCTTTATCAAAATAATTTTCATCGAATTCCAATGTCTAGAATCTGGGATCAATGCAACATGATGCAAGACTACATCGAAATCTTTGACGGATGGGGAAACCAAGCCACCACACTAGCGCACCTATGCAGTGGCGAAACTATTCCGGAAATCATCAGCAGCGGACCCGAACTATTGTTAAAATTCAACACGTCGCCCTTCGGAAACCCCTTCCATCCTCTGCCGCTCTCATACCTGCCCGGGTTTGAATTGGAAGTAGAGGTCAGTCATAGTAATAACTTTACATTCACCACTATGCAGCCGGTTTTTTCCTAGGTCTTTTTCGTCAACAAAGAGTCGCCGACTTATATCGAACCCGGCAAGAAGTGTGAATTTCTAGTGACAACCTTCGACAATACGTCAGGCCTTCTAGAAAGCCCGCTACACTCCCTTCCACCAAATACCACGTGTCACTATCACTTCCGAGGCCAACCGAGAGACATCATTTGGATATCATTTATCAAATACCACGTGACAAACGAAAGATTGACCGACTTCAACACGGGAGAGTGCGACGTCCAACTTCAAATTTGGGACGGCGATATAAAGAGCACGAACTCGGTACAGCTAATCGGGCAATTTTGCAAAGACGATAAACCGAAACTTTGCGCTCACACGTTACTCACCAACTCATCTCGCTTGACCAGACCCTGTCGTTTATCGGAAAGCTACGTCAGTACCAACTCTGACCTGACGATTTCGCACTCCATCAAATACGGAAGCGTCCTCTATCCGGTCAATTTCGTCCTGAGGTACGAGTTCGTCGACCTGTCGCAAGACGGTACCCAAATAACCAGAAACCCTTGCGACAGGCTTTTCAAATCTGCAAACGGACGGTTTTATTCGCCCAAGATAACTTTCCTGTTCGGTAGAGGCGGACAAAGAGATTTGTCGTGCACGTATCAATTCGAATCGTCGGAATCGCAAAGGCTGAGGCTTACTTTCAACAAAGCCCAGTTCGGTAACAAGCAGTGCTTCTCGGAATTCAATCCGGAAATCAATAGGTGGCAATGCAACGTGAAATCGGAATCGGAAGGCACCGCCAGCATTACGATATCCGAGTATCCGTGGAAAGACGTGGAAATCAAGAGACACTGTCTGTGTAGCAACGTCACGCAGCGACCTTTCATTATTACTACCAAAACCGCTAGCAAAATTGTGGTCAAATTTACCGTTACAGGCATGAGAATTACAGAAGACTACCACGACTACTTCTTCGACGCCAATTTCGAATTTATCCCGTCAGAGTTCAACTGTCTGAACCCGTGGAAAAACCGCAGGTTGAGGGGCTCGAGTGGCGAAATCACCGTGAGAAACAACGAGCAAACCATGCGACAGACCGAAGAAGTATTGAGTCAAAACCAAACCATTAGGTACTGTCTGCAGCAGCCGTGGTTGATAGAGCCCGAAGAAGATTGCAACTTTATTTACTTGAAGATCAAAGGAAACGACCGCAGAGATTCGAGACTATGTCCAAACAAAAACAGGATACTGGTTTATCCCGCGGGTCGTACCGAGGACGTACGTATAATCTGCCCCCAGTACAACGAACTCGTAGAAATGTTCTCAGAGGGTTGGAGTCGGTTTAGCTACAAAAAGCTGCAGAATCGGAACTCGAGGAGTTTCGTAATCGAATTTTTGAAGAGGGAGACCGGCAACTTCGCCGTCACATGGATGGAAGTGTCAAAAAACCCCGCCCTCGCCCTACCCACTTCGATGTTGATGATTCGGCCACCGGAATGTCCGCACAGGTAAACTTTACGCGTCACGAAAATAAGTTCTCATTACGCTCAGTAAATTTTTTTCAGCTGTCCTGAATTGGGTGCCTGCATAAGCTCGGAGCTGTGGTGCGACGGTCTGAGGCACTGCCCTTCCGGAAATGACGAGCAAGAATCGAATTGTTCAGTTCACGCGGGGTTCCCCTACAATTATCTCAACTCGGCAGCTCTGTCCGCCGTGGGCCTAGTGATACTTACGTCACTGATCGTCATGTCTTTCATAATATTTAAAAACTGGAGGCAGGAACAGAAAAATGTTATAGTATCGGTTACGGAACATACGTTTTTGGAGTTCAAAAGTGGATTGTGTTGAATGATGTAATGTATGATCACATCTTAGGTAGTTTTTAAATAAACGTTGTAAAAAAATGTAGCTGGGTTTGCCGTTAGCTAAGCCATGGAGATTGTTTCTCTGGGCGTGCTATCAAGCGAACCATGTAATCATATCATTTTACCGTTTTTTATTCTTTATTTCCTCTGTAAATTTGATTAACTCATTTGGCTCACATTCTGATGTGTACAAAATTTTCGAATTCGTTGACAAGGTCCTGATGATTTTTTATAACTAGTAGAGACACTTTTAGAATAAGCTGCCTGCAAAATGGAGGTGTTGTAAACTGATGACTGACAATATCTGTTGTAAATGTAATGTATAAAATTTTTATCGGCAACGCAACAAATAAAGATGGATAATTAAAACAACGTGTATTGGTTTAATTAATAACCGTTTGAGACAAAACGTCATACTATATGTGCGCTGAACCAAATTGTATATAAATTACGTGGGAATTTTTGAGAGAAATAGAAATATGGTTTCTCCTATACAAATAATTCGGAGAAATATTGATTGGTTTTAGAGAAAAATGTGCGTCGATAGAAAATCCACTTGAAAGTTTCATTAAGAACAAAATCTCGAATATTTTGTCTGTATCGTATCTCATCACGGGACTGTACTTCGTAAGCACCATTTTACAGTTGATTATTCTATTACTATTTAATATTATTAGATACTTTTGAAGTTGCACAAACCTATAAAAACATGCCTTAGTTCTAAGTTAATCAAAATATGCTGGATGGAGAGAGACAGAGAGAGAGAAGAACTCTTTTCAAAGGCTCCAGGTTTGTCAAAATGCGTTCAGCCATTTATTTCCGAAATTGTTCGGTCACTCCCAACACTTTCTCTTAAAGGGTAAGGCATAAACTATTTTACGAAAATGAATGCGATTAAGATAGATAGAAATTTAAAAATAAATTCCAGCATTTTCTCCTCTCCGTTTTATTCGTAAGTTTTTTTTACCTCAAGCCAATTGATTGTGGAGAAAGGATCGAGTGCCATCCTTAATTGGTCACCTGGTTCATAAAATTTGACTCAAAAAAATTACTGGAAGCATTCCAATTTAGATCGATTTCACTGTTCTTCAATGTATAATATACTTACTGTGCTTGTAAACACGCGTATGTTATTTTAAGACAGCAAAATAAAAAGCGCAAACTTTAATGGTAATTTGCATAAAAACTCACCTGAAGTGGAATGTAGGACACAATTCGCAGCAAATTAATTACAAAGTCCACCAATTCACAACAATTTCACGAGCACGATTTCACGTCAATTCTAAAATGCCCATTGATAGGAAACAAATAGGCCTACTGCATCGCCATGGCTAACTAAGCTCATATTTATTTCTCATCGAAATTAAAATAATTTATGCTTTTGAACATCAACATTGCGATGAAGATACAGCTTAAATTTGGAAGTGGTAACAAAATATCAAATTTTCTTTTTTTTTGTTTTTGTCGTTTTTATACGAACATGTATCAGACGAATATAGTTTCTTGTATTCCCAAATGATTATTATTGACATCCCTGCCATCTCCAATGCGCTTAAAAAAATCATTTTTAATAATAATAAAAGCATCGAAAGTTTTAACAGGCCTCGCCCAAAAAGATGTGATTCTATCAAAACAAACCAGAACTATATTTTAAAATCAATTATTTTTTGCTGTAATATTAAAGAAAATATTGAAAACACCTTTTTTCAATGTGCTTTTTTTGCCGACGAAGTGGTTATGAAAACACCAAAACATTAGTACACAATTATTGACAAATCAGGTTTTTTATTTTTCTTATTTACTTAAGAGAGCAAGGTAAATGTATTACTAACTGCCACAAGATTATCTCAAAACTGGACACATGAATAAAAAGCAATTAAAAGTAAATTAATTAATTTTTCAATATATCATCTTGTTAAATATATATAACCTTCTCGCTAATTACGAGGTGCCAAAAAGTACTAAAAGTCGTAAAACAATATTTTCAAACGACCAAATTAAAAACGATATGTTTTTTATATAGTAAATTTTGCCTTTTTTGTAGATACGTACATTAGTTTATTTTTAATTTAAATGGAAATAAAACACAGCATTTATCAAATATGCCTTTTTTAATGGATAACATTATTATTATGCTATTTACTTGCTTAATATATTTTATAATAATAGGTACCAAATATTTATATATATTTAAATTAGACTTGAAGTACAACTTGAAAATAATAAACTAACATATCTAAAGCTACTTACGCAACTGAAGTTCAATTAAAATAAAAGATTTCTAATTCTAAATTCCTAAAATTGTATCAATAATAATAATATACACCTAAGAAGTTGAAAAATATCAAATATTGAGATTCAGAATATCAGATATTATTTCTGCCGCGCAAAAATTGATTAATCGCATCATATACTTAAAAAATAATATTTATTTATTTATTAGGAACGAGATCCTACTTTTTGTCTCTTCTGTAATAATGCTTCACAAAATTCAGATTTCATTTGAAAGTATATAGAATAATTCTTGAAGTGTTTTCAAATTTTGTGTAAACGTTTTATAATATATTATGCAAAAGCGCCACTTCAAGTCACGGAGTTTATTTTGATACAAGCGAGGCGAGTGGTTTATAAACTAGAGACTTGGTGCATACTATACTTTTTCTTCGACCATTAGTTTCTCGCAGCAGTGATATGTGACGTGACCATCAGAACCGACAAACTTCAAAACACCATCATTCTTCAAAATCTACCTAAAACACCCGATCGCTCTCAAATCCGTGACTAATGTACCGGAAACGGCTAGTGATAGTATTTAATGAAGCTGGCGACTTAAAGAGATACTTTGCGAACTCCACACTGGTGTATAGTTGGGTATTTTACAGTAGGGAGCAGAAAAGAAAAAATTGATTGTATTATCACAGCCTTATATCAAAAACGTCCACTGCTGCACCTCCATATTCGACGAAGAAGTATCACATTTAAAAGAATAATTGATGGAATTACCCAAACAACGCACATTGGTCGTGGTTTCATTCGTTTTATCGCTATTCGAAATTCTTAACGGGAACTCAAACCTGAAAAAGAGATAAACTATGACTCCGTGTTTGATATAAACAAAGACGAGGCTATATAAATAACGTGGGCTGCACTGAATATAGAAATAAAGCGGCAGAAAAATTGCGACAGGTTTGTAAATCGCTGCGAGTCTCCTTAGCCGCGAGGTTTATTTAATCCTATCAACTCCCTGTCTGTGATACAAAATGTGTACAGCGTTTGCTAGCGCCTTTTCGCTTCTAGTTGTAATTTTAGTGTTTGACTCGACGGGTAATCGGAATTTACGAACATGCGTCGCATCTAAACGTTGTTAATGGCGTGTTTGGTTTCAGAATGCCAAAGTTTAACCGCCGAAAATATTAAGTATGTCGTCTCCCAGGACAAAGTAAGTAACTTTGTAGAGTCAACGATATTTTTAACATTTTTATCGTTACAGCAAAATTGGATTCAAGCTCTGATCAATTGCAAAAGTAGCGGCATGGAACTCGCCACTGTCAACTCGGAAGAAGAACATCTCGCTATGGAGAAGTTTCTAAAGGACAGTGGACACGACCGTAAGTTGTCAAGGTTGCCTGTCGGCAGAAGAAAAAATAACGTGTTTCCAGTGGGTTATTGGCTGGGCGGCACCAAGTTAGGCGACGGTACCTATTACTGGGCGCCGACCGGCGCCAAAGTCGTTTTCACCAAGTGGTTCGTGGGTCAGCCGGATAACGGGGGGCTGGATCTGCCACCCGAAGACTGTATTCAATGGGGGATGCCTTCGTACAGTCCTAAACCGACTGGCTGGAACGACCTGAACTGCAATCGAAGCATTCAGTACATTTGTCAAACTGTTGATTATTGTTACGCACCGAACGTTGTTTAAGCCGTATACCAAAGCTAACAGTAAAATAATATATTTTTATTTGGTTACCAAAGCTTTTGAATTATTCTCCTATATGCGTCACGGCAGAGAGGAGAGAATCTGGCAACATTTTGTAGAAGGAAAAGGTCCTAAGAGTTGTCTCGAACAGTTAATTTTTTCTAAGAAAATCAATAGAAAAATTCAACAAATTACTTTTACATAATATAATTACTTGGATATTGATTTACTTGAGTTTAATCTTATAAAATAGGTAAAAATTATGTTGCTGACCTACTGGGATAAAGTTCCATAAAAACTGATATATCCTTAATAGTCATCGTTACTTTAATGGAATGTATATTATATTATATTATATTATATATTATGTCTATTATTTATAATCAAATCATAAGGAAAATTAATTGATAAACGCTGTCATATTAATATATACCAAAAACCAGTCACTAATTAAGATGCTGGCGGTGGTGTGCAAAACTAATGATGGACTAGCAGAGGATTTTTTAAAAACTAAACGATCTCTTTCATTGTGTGACTAAATTTCAATTTTTTGATTTTTTTTATTTTTACTATAATCATTAGTCATACACATCATATACCCTTTTGTTTTATTTTATTTGTTATAGTTGAAAACATAAATAATTTATTTAGTTATTTATTCCTACATTCCTAATTGAATATCCTATATTTTGATTATACACCTTTTGAAAATATCGTTCCCAAATCCATATTCCAAATTCTTATTTTCCAAATATTTGGCAAGAAAACAAAAAAATCTTCATCAATTCGCTATATTTACAAAACCAACGAATCTAAAATGTATACTAATAATTATCACAAACATAAGATAACAAATTCATAGAAACGTTTTTATTAAAAACGCAACAATAACGTCACACATAATATATCACCCAATTAATAAATAAAACTGCCACTCTCACATCTTGTGACTATGACTCTCCAAATCAAAGCTACCCTTGTTTCCGGTCCCGACCGTGATGTTCCTCGTTTTGTTTAACCACTTAAAGCAACCGAGCAACCCTTTGCCGCAGGTCTCTTCTATGTGAATAACCTCAGCATTTTTAAATCTATTGTTGGAATGAGGCAACGCATACATCAGCTTATTCCAAAACCAGGGATCGCCCCATTTCACATACGTATTAGTCTTCAAATAGGCCTTCATTTCGTCATCCAACGAGTCTTCGTTCAAATCTCCATAGATAACCACTATAACTCTAGCTCTGCCCTCTGTAATGGCCTGCGTATGGGCCGTCCGGAACTCCATTTTTCCCCACACGCTCTCCATAAAATTGTTAGAAAGTACCACCAACGTTCTACGCGAGTTTAACACCGAATCAACTATCTGTTTACTAATAAACTCGCCTGGGATGAAATCTCTGTAATGGATGCACACTTTGAAAGGCCGCTGCGGATGCTCTAGCTGAGCCAGCAGCTGCTTTTGCACGAAGTCCTCGTCTTTGTAGGAGTAGCTCACGAAAATATCATAAGTTTTTTCCTTATCGAGTTCTTCTTCAGCCACGCACCACAGACAACAGTTTTTGGAGTACAAGTAAATCTTTATGCTGGTGTTGTAACGATAATACAAAGTCAATGCTATGGCCAACATGGCGAAGAGTAACGTTAGAGAAATCGGGACCGTCAAGGAATTCTGTAGAGATTGTTCGCATATTTTCGTGTAGATCAAGTATTCACCGGTTGATTGGCAAGTGACGTCGGTCTGATTGACCTAAAAATTTAAACAAATATCATTTGAGTAGGTACACTTATACTTGCGAAAGATGCGAGTGCTTTCATTTCAAAATATTGCTTTCGTTTGCTTTCATTGGTTTATGACTTAAATTTCAGTCATATGATCATATGAGGAGACTCATTAATAATATATAATTATGAAATTCAAGTATTCATTATCCAAGTTAACTAAGGATTTCCAATTAACGGCAATTTCGCAAAATAAATTTTGTAATGATTATTTTTCGCAGTGCTTATTATTTAATTAAAACCTGAGTGGCCTTGAAAACAAAATATTCACTTCTACGATATCGAAACCGACACGTTAAATGAGAGAATGGTTTTACCTGACAAACTGCTATTTTAAGGATAAAATGCTTTTGTGTAAAATGTATTTAAAATCATTTCTATTACAAAATATCAATCGGGCATAGAACATAACAAATACAAATAGATAACATAGATATGCACACCAGTATATATCAGTACAAAAGCCGGGAATCTTGGGAATTACACGCAATAGAGTTGACACCGATTAAAGTTGGGGCATGTTTACTAAACTTATTTTCAACCAAGCAGTTAACCAAATAAAAAGTTGTCAAAAAAGTCACGCCAAAATACAATCGCGTCAAACTATCGTGCATATATTCAGAAGAAGAAGAAAATCAAAAAAGGACGATTCGGTTTCTCAGTTTGTTATTTTTTGTTAAGAAAGGCAAGACGTTGTACCTTAATGTTGTTGAAACTGATTAGATATCTTTGCAAATCTGCAGAGTTGCATTCGCATTTCCATGGATTATTCTTCAAAGTAATTTCCACCAGGCTCTCGGTTTTTTCCAGAACACGAATCGTTTCCCGATTTATGTTTTGAAGTCGGTTGTTGTCCAAATCCAGATACTAAGAAAAAGCAAGTATTTATTTCAAAATTGATTTCATACTATAAAAAATCAAGAGTCTACACTTATACGTATTTTAATCAGAACAAAAATTTTTAATGATTTGTGACAGCTGTTTCGCCAACACCGTGCCTTTACCAAAATACAAAATATGTATTTGATAAAGGCACGATCATAAAACTGAAAATCTGAACATTTTTTGTTCTAATTTAATAATGTAAGAACCATCTCAGTCCAATTATACGTGTTACTAACTTTATAAGAAAAAATTCTTAAAAATTATAAATCTCAGAAAATGCGCAGTCTCCCGAATGTCGCTTAAAACCACAAGCAAATGGCATTAATTCTAATTAAAACTTAAAATATTATTTGAATTTTACGCAATTCAATAAGATTTATCAATCGTCCTTAAACATTATTGTACGTATTTGTACGGATTGTCCAACATTACAAAAAAATCAGTATTTTCTTGGCATATCTGACTTTGAATACATAAAAGTATACGCTTAGCAGTAAACCATACTCACTTGCAAATGTGGGGGGACCCAGCGAAAGTCCGAAATAACATTGTCGGACAAATCGAGGTAAGTAACATTGTTGTAACCAGCAAGCTTTTGCGGACCCATGGAATTCAAGTTGTTTCCTTTTAGAATCACAATAGTTTGATTATGCTTGTATGTACCGGTAGATTTCAAACCCTCGAGCGTTGGTGCACTCGTCAAGTCTCCATAAGAACAATCGATAACTAGAGAAGTGTCAGTCTTTCTGTAGAAGCAGTCGCATGTCTGGGGGCACTCATCCACATTGACCAGCAAACAATCTCCAGCGACTGCCGAACACTCTATCTTGTTTCGCAATACCGTAAGTTGCATCAAATCGTTCATTTCTGCAGCCTTCTCTACTTTGTACTTATTACAAGAGCATCTTACGAAATTTGTTGTTAAATTGAATATAATACTGCCTTCGTTGTTAGATTCGTATCGATCTGGAAGCTGGATGTCGTCAATTCTGTTGTGAGAAACATCCACAGTTGTCGTTCGGTTTATTGGAATGGGGTATTTCTGAAAATGAGGAATGTTTGATGATTTTTTAGTAATTTTCTTTAAGCGAAATTTTTCCTACTCACCATATGCACACTCGTAATTTCATTGTGACTCACATCCAAATGCTGCAGCGAATTTCTCTCAAGGAAAACATTAGGAACTGATTTAATTTTGTTATAGCTGAGAATCACTTTTTCTACATTGTTATTAAAATTGTGCACCAAAAAATCTGATATTTGGTTGGAACCTAAATCCAGAACCTTCAACGAGCGCAGCTCTTGAAAATAATCGCCATCCAACTTCGTGAGTCTATTCCCTCTGAGCGATAAAACCTGAAGGTTTTTTAACGTAGAGAATATTTTGCTTGGTAAAGACTCCAACTTGTTCTGGCTCAAATCTAGAGTCCTTAAAGAGCCAAGAACGGCGAATATAGTTGTCGGCAAACTTTGCAAATCATTCTGACTGAGTGTCAGTTCGTCTAAGTTTGCGAGATGGTCAAAAACGTGACCCTCCAAAGTTCCAATTCCACAATTTATTAAAAACAATTTTTCCAACATCTTTAGTTTGCTAAATAAGGGTTTCGACACAACAAAATCCTGGTTTCCTGATAAATCCAAAACTTTTAGTTCCTCGTTGCTCGAGAAAGTATCTTCCGCTATCGCTTTCAAACTGTTATAGCTCAGGTTTAAATAAGTCAAGTTCAATAGCCCACTGAAAACTTTATTTTCCACGTTATTGATCTTGTTTTCACTTAAGTCTAACTTTGTTATCACCTTGGCACCTGAGAAACATCCATTATTTAACTTCCTTAAATTGTTGCTCCTAAAAGAAACAGCCTCCAAATGATCGAGACTTTCAAAAATTCCACTTGGAATTTCGAATAAAGAATTTGAAGAGAGATCCAAATTGATGAGTCCAGTCAGGTTTGCTAAATAGGACTTGAGATTTCTCAGGTCACTATGATTTAGGATTAGGGTTTGCAACTTTGGGGTGTGCTCCAAAAATTCCTCTTCCAGAGATATGAAGGAGTCGTTTTGTAACTTATTGATCCAACCGATGTATAAATATTCCAGCTCCGATTGATCTTTTAACAAATTTTTCGTAATATTGATATGTCTTACTTTGTCGAGTTCCACCGCATATTTGATATGCTTTGGTTTTGTCTTGAAGCACTTTGTTATCATCGTGTCGAGGGTAAGCGGGCTGCTATCATCAAAACTCTTCAAGTATCTACCATCGAATGTTGGATACATATCGAGAGTCCCTGGGGCTGACTTCGTGCAGATAATGTTGACGAAATTTTGTTGAAAAACTATATTCACATGGGTTTTGTTTTGTGGACACGCGACTGCTTGAATACATCTATCGCAGCTGGAACGACGATAGCATTGAGAGCTTTCTACTTGTATATAGTGGGCTGCCACGAAAATTAAAATAAACCATATCTCTTCTTTTGTCATTTTGTCCAGCTTCCAAAATCTGAAGAAAATAAATAAATATTTTTATACAAGGAATCACAAGCTGATAATAAATTGAAATGTGTTGAGGGTCAAAATAGTATACTAAGCAACAAGTTTCCCACACTTTAAACACGAGTGCTTTGGCGGTGCGAGTGCTTATTAAACGAGTGTCTGAAGTTCATCAACGTATTGCATAGTATACTTTTTTTAATGCCCATAGTGTTGGCGAAAATTTTTGCACGAATACAATCAACGAATCATGTGTGACGTGACCATCAGAATACCATAAATGTTAAAAATCAAGCGAAAAGATCCGATCGCTCCCAAACCCATGATTAAAGAACCGAAAATTCTCGAAAAGTCTCGAGAAAGGCTTTAATGAAGCTCACATCTTAAAGTGACACTTTGAGCACCCCTCATCAGTGCATAATTGGGTATTTTAGAGTTGGAAGTAGAAAAATTAGATTAAATTGCATCTTTTCTACTACATCGCAGCACCCCTTTTCTCCTATATTGTACAGATTTCAAAAATTTTCTGGTATATATCAGATTTTTTTGAAGTTAAACACAGGTTAAAATGATTCACATTAGATAAAACACCATTTCTCGCCACAACTAATATGTCATTGTGGTCAGGACTGTTTAAATTTATTAATTAATTCAATTATAATCCAAGGTAAAACGGGTATCTTGGAAATTACACTCATGAGAGATATCAAATTAAAGCGTAAAAGTTTTGCTAAACCGATTTAGAAAAATGGCAAAATAGTCCCAGATTTGTAGAAACGTTATAAAATCAAAATTAAAATAAAAAAATAAAGACAACCGCTGTTTAGAATTTTTAATTATTGCATACGGGGTGTTTCAAAGATCAGTTAAATTTTAACGGATTCCAATACAAAAAATCATATATACATACAGGACGTATAATCTTCCGACCTATTTTACTTAAATTTAGCATTGATATTTGCGATAGTAAGGGGCTAAAATTAAATACAAATTCCAGCGGCGTCTCGATGACATTTTAACCAATATTTTTCCAAAAATTATTTTATTTAAAAATATATGAATCACTGTGTGAGTAAATATTAGTTTTAGAAAAAAGTTTTTGATGTTTTATTACTTATTTGGTCTTGGAATTGATATGTTGACCAAAGCATTAACCACTAGTGAATAAATTTTCAAAAAAAAGCGTAGGCGTTGAAAACGAACCAAATATGAGTACAAAGCTAAATTAAACATACATACGTACCACATATTAGTAAATCGAACGTACATCTTGCAAAGCGCCCATAATATTTATTTATAATGTGTTTAATTGCCTTGTTTACAACTTGTTTCACACAACAAACGTTATCGGCCCCTTTAAATAATCACTTGTGTGCGAAACCACTGTTGTGGGCCACGACCCTTGATTTTTTCCTCACGAATTTGACGCCAAAAGGTCGTAAGGGAAATTCTCCAATAAATCAATCTGGTAAAACGCATTTATACACTGATACCGATACCATGTTGTTTGTCTTGTGGCGCAAGGCTGTGTCGTGTGTGACTGGACTGGGGAATTCAGCGCAAGACGACTTTTCCCGCTTTTTAAGAAGTCGGATTTTATTGCAAATTCGTAGCGCAGTAGAAACCGATTCACGGTGAATCTGGGTACTACCGATACCACCGCCATTTCAAAATTCTTTCTTTTCTACTCGAGCTACTGGTTTTTTAAACTGCTTTTGTTTTCATTGGGATGTACGGTATATTCCATGTATGGTTCAATTTTTTTTTCATAAGCTATATGATTTTTAAAATTGTATTGAATTTGAACTTGAAAAGCAATTATAAAATGATCGCTCTTTAACAACACTACAATTTTTAAAGCGCTTAAAAAATATTACAAAAGAAACAAAATATATGATAGGAACGAATGATTCAACCAAGAAAGACAAGAAAATAGAGAAAAATTGGGAAAATGGAGGGAGAGAAGAAAAAAATATGTACGAAATAAGAGGACCGATCCAATATTTGATAACACCAAATAGCTACTAGATCTATAGAGAGCTTGTCTTCCTTTCAACCAATAAAAGTTGTTATTTCGAATTTCGCTTTCAGCCAATTGTGGAGTTCAACAATCAATATGACCGCTAAGAGTCAATTTAGTGGATATAGCATTTTTCGGCAGTAGCTTGCAACATCTTTGTCGCACTAAAACTACACTTCGCTTTATTCTGTTTAAGTGCAGGGTGTTCGAAATCTGATCTCTGTTCCAATAGAAGATTGTATACTCTAGTAAAATGTTTACTTTTAGTTTGGTTTTGATTTTTTTTCTTAGAATAAATGAAGATTTTACAAAGTCCAAAGTCAGTGCACAATGTATATAAAAAAGTTAAATTACCACAATTAAATGATTTTCTTTGACTTGATATAAACTATTTTAAAAGGTAGGAAACAACAATCGATCTAATATTTTAAAATGATTGCAGATAGTTTGACTAACCAGTTTAAAAATATATATACAGGGTTTTCCCCGGTGACCGTCCATTACCTCTGAAGATGCCAAGTGATATTTATATATATATATATATATATATATATATATATATATATATATATATATATATATATATATATATATATATATATATATATATATATATATATATATATATATATATATATATTCTCACGTATTGATTCACGGATGGAAAAATGTGATGACACTATATTCCGGGATATCATCCGTTCGCTCGTTGAACTCCGACTGGAATCCTGCTAATCTTGCATCCGACTGGAATCCTGCAGACGTTTCGCCAAAATCTCACTTGGCATCTTCAATGCTCGCGCTCCGAGCCCAGTGTTCGAAGTGTTTTCGGAGCGCGAGCATTGAAGATGCCAAGTGAGATTTTGGCGAAACGTCTGCAGGATTCCAGTCGGATGCAAGATTTGCAGGATTCCAGTCGGATGCAGGATTCCAGTCGGAGTTCAACGAGCGAACGGATGATATCCCGGAATATAGTGTCATCACATTTTTCCATCCGTGAATCAATACGTGAGAATATATATATATATATATATATATATATATATATATATATATGGAAGTGTTAATTGAATAATTGGCTTTTACGCCAAAATATCACAATTTATCGAAGTGGGGCATAAAGAAATTATATATATATATATATATATATATATATATATATATATATATATATATATATATATATATATATATATATATATATATATATTCTCACGTATTGATTCACGGATGGAAAAATGTGATGACACTATATTCCGGGATATCATCCGTTCGATCGTTGAACTCCGACTGGAATCCTGCAGACGTTTCGCCAAAATCTCACTTGGCATCTTCAATGCTCGCGCTCCGAAAACACTTCGAACACTGGAGTTCAACAAGCGAACGGATGATATCCCGGAATATAGTGTCGTCACATTTTTCCATCCGTGAATCAATACGTGAAAAAAAAAATATATAGGACATATATCATCGACAATGTTTAATACATAGGACACCGAAAAGTGCACTTTACAAAAAATATGACAACAATTCCATTGACTAGACCAACAATTTGAAAAAAGATTATACATGTTCCTATAACTTCTAGCGTTGTTTAAGAAATGAAATACATTCTCTATTGTCACACGGCACCTATAACAATTTACGTGTTAGACTTGCTTATGAATATTACACGAGGTTGGTTAGTTTGAAATTTCAATGTTGCCACTGATTTCGAGTGGAACCGGCAACATTGTAAAAGCAAAAACATTTTTAAATTGTACGTTAGGGCCCATTATGCAAATATACCAAGTTTCACAACAATATCTATTTCGTTTAAGGTAAAACATATTGGACAGTCGCCATGGGAAACCCTATATGTTTTCAAACTAAAACAAAAACCTCTTTTATTAATTTAATGTGTGGTTGAAGTTTAAAGTAAATAGAGAACATGTGAAGTAATAGAATTAAATATTTTTGGTAACTTGTTATCCAATCAATAAAAAGCGCACTGCGGCATCCACTTGTCTGCAATATTAATTTAATGATACTTATCAAACACCTGACTAGACAGTACTTAGTCAATTTCGCAAACAAATTTATTCCAAAGTAGATATTAATAACTAGAAGCAAAAATTCAACAACTTTTATTTTCCCGCACTAATCCATCTTCAATTTTTCCAGTTCCCTGACTTTGTTTTGAATCTGCTGTTCGATTATAGGCCGATACTTTTTATCTTCCCCTAGCTCTTGCATCTCCCTTAACCAATCCTGCCGTTCTTTAATCTCTTTAAGGACTGCAAATTTAACCAAATTCCTTTCTCGTTACAGATTAATTAACTATGAAAACTTACGCTCATCAAACCGATTTGGTTTGCTCTCCATCTCCTTTTCCACATATTTTTCGAGAACTTTTTCTTTCGACACCGCTAAATCCTTATTATAGGCCATTTTATTTGCCAGTTTGTCCTTTTCCCTTTCTCTGTCCACTACCAGATGATTCGGCTAAAAGCTAAACGACGTAATTAAGTATTTAGCCAATCGAATAGAGCTTACTTTATAAGCGTCCCTTTCATACGCTCCAGACCTGATGATGGTTTCCATGGAGCGACGTTTTGAAGATGCAGGCCTTATCGTTACTTCTGGAAGGTTGGGGGTTTTTCGCTTTGTGATATTTGCCAACGAAGGCAAAGGGTCCCCGTTTCTCAATGCGTAATTTAACCTTTTCCTTTGCATCATTGACATTTTGCTCTCCTCCATTAAAACTTAAAAAAAATTATATCTTATTTTTTTATAAATATACTCTTTTTTTTTATTTACTTTGTTGTGGCAATAGACAAGACGACAAAGAAAAATTTATTGCTCCTTAATATTGAATTTATAATAATAATTCATTATTAATAATATAATAATAATATAATATAATAATAATGATAATAATAATAATTAATAATTAATTTATCTATAAATGTCGGATATATGCAAGTGTGACAAAATCGGATATTAAATTATATATATATATTATATTATATAAAAAATTTCTTTTCGTTTTTTATATATTTTTATGTTGAATTTGTCTGGGTTGTTCGATTGTATCTATACATTTTCAAAACTTTAGCAGCAAATAAACACACTAACAAGTTCTTTACAACAAAGAAGTCATCATCATCTCTGTGTCATACAAATAAACAATTCTGAAACTAAACCAACCCTACAATTTTAACTGGATAATGGACAAATTTATCCCATTACCCAAATTAGCTGTCGCTTGTAATGAATCTTGGAAAACCACTTAAAATACAAATTGCTTACTTTGGTATTTGTGAACTAGTTTGGAAGTCACAGGCTGATTTAGAGAATTGAACGTTGATAATCTCTTGTGATTTAAAAAAATAAACTACATTGATAAATGTTTTTTGATAACCATATCAAAGGTAAATATTAAAAAATGAGTTTCATTGAAAAGAAAAAAATTAGATTTAATATAACTTTAATGGTTTTTAAGGTAGCCTATAGGGGGCACGATTTTGAGAAACTCTATACATTCTAAATAAACCTTGCTTAAAAACAATATTTGTTCCATTCACAACTCACGTTTCAAGAATTTCTCAGTTTCAGCACTATAATTTGCTTTCGCTGGGTGCAAAATTCCACCCCGTGGTACGGTTTTACTGGACCAATCATCCATTATATGAATCGTTAAAAAATAACAGCCTGGGTATACAATAAATGACGTTGTCAGTGCTTGCGTCTAAAATGCAGAACAATAATAAAATAAAACCACTCCGCAACGCTGTCTCCATGGTTTCGTTTCTGAAATCGATTAAACGTTAAAGTGGATTTAATTTTATCAGATCCCATTACGGTTCCCTGCACAAAGGCAAACACCGTTTTTAATTTATTATTAATTACCCTTAAATTTAATTTTCAAAAAAATGCGTTTCTCGATATTTTTACTTGTACGGTAATTTTTAGTTTTATTCATTTTATTACTCTTATTCTTTTAATTGGGACATTTCATGAGAAATTGAATCGGCGTCGTTTCTTAACTACCGCAAATAGTCGTTAACAATAAAAATACATGGATGCGGGGCGAAAAGAATAACCAACAAGAAATCGTGCGGCTTTTGTGATTCCCTTTGGAAATAGTAGTCCCATTTGTACCATTTCGGAATTCCGTGAATAAATAAAAATACTAGATAATTGTCACGTTGCGTTTCTCTACGTTTCCTCATATTTCCTTGTGGTATTGGTAATAGATCAATTAATACGTATATGTTTTTAACAATAACGATCCTTTTTATTAATTGCTTTAAAAGTATTGATCACTCACTCTTCAACCCTGGTTTTTGGGCATGTCTAAAACAAAACAAAGAAAATCTATTATTACTATTATTATGTAATGTTTATTACGTTTTTCAGGTTATAAAGGTTTTATTTGATTAGTTTTAAATCTTTTTGTTGTTGCCACACTTCAGTGTAAATTTCATTTGCACAACTTTTTTTCTTGAGTGTGGTAGACAATGATTTAGACGTAGTAGTGTAGTCTGCCTACACTTTATAAAGGGTGGTAATACAACATTGTGTAATTTAAAATAAAATAAAAATTCTTAGTATTTCTTATGTACCTTTCAAGTTATTGAAACATAAATATTTGATAAATTTCAAGCTAAGAGTTAAAAAAGATATTTTTAATTATAAAATAATGACTACAAAATGTTAAATTTGACAAAAAAATGAATTGTGTACAACGGCATATGCGTTTTTTCTATTCTTCTTTGTTCTTTCATTTATTATAAAATAAGTTATTTGTATAAAGTTCTACATGAGCTAAAAGTTAAAATACATTTCATTAGGTGAAAAATCTAGGGAGCCATATACAATGTTTGTCAGAAATATTAACTTTATGCAAGTGTACCTGTATTTTTAAAAATATTTTATAAACTTCTTTGAATTGTTAATTGCGTTTACCTTTTCAAAATATTTATTAGTTGGAAACGATTACAAGCATGTCAGGAAATAATATATATGATCAAGAGTGTATGAATAAAATTTGATGAAAGAAGCAATTAAATGTCTAGAAAGGCATGGGGGATATATTGAGATTTAGTAAATTAACTAATTTGTCTTCTTTCATTTATCTTCATTTGTAAAATAAAGTATGCATTATAATATATGCGCACACATATATAATATATAATATATATATATATATATATATATATATATATATATATATATATATATATATATATATATATATATATATATATATATATATATATATATATATATATATATATATATATATATATATATATATATATATATATATATATATATATATATATATATATATATATATATATATATATATATATATATATATATATATATATATATATATATATATATATATATATATATATATATATGTATATATATATATATATATATATATATATATATATATATATATATATATATATATATATATATATATATATATATATATATATATATATATATATATATATATATATATATATATAATCATCCGTTCACTCGTTGAACTCCGACTGGAATCCTGCATCCGACTGGAATCCTGCAAATCCTGAATCCGACTGGAATCCTGCAGACGTTTCGCCAAAATCTCACTTGGCATCTTCAATGCTCGCGCTCCGAAAAGTGTTCGAAGTGTATATATATATATATATATATATATATATATATATATATATATATATATATATATATATATGTACACACCATAACATTACTACTTTGCATTTTTTTTTTGATGGCTAATATTAGATACGCGCCAAAAATTTTCAATTATGATTAATTTTTATTGTCATTATTTTCAAAAATTAATGTATTTTGCTCTTGCTTAAAATTCATATTTTTAGACAAATATTGTATATTTGATTTATAAGGATTATTAAAAGTTTTAGACCATGCAGAACAAACTTTTTATAAGAAATAACTTCTGTTAAATTCATAAAAAAATCTGGCGCTGTTGCTAAGACTTTTTACCTATTGTTGCAGTAATTAATCCAAGAAATCCAGGAGCCAAATCGACCGGACTATCAGCGATAGTTTATTATTACGATAAACAGTAAGGTTGGGAAAATACGCTCTCGCAATATTTCCGACGTACAAGCAAACTTCATTCCAGTCATCAAATGGTACGAAATTCGCAGTCATGTTGTTAACAGTTTCTTTAATATTGGCTTTCGGTGAGAACAAATCTGCTTAACGTACCGTGTTCATTAGAAGAAATTAATTCAACACATTCCTCAAACTATTCTGTTTCAGGGGCAACCAGTTACGCATCCACTCCATTTAAATCGCTAAACATCAAGTACCATGTATCTACTGATGCCGTAAGTAACGACATTTTATTTCCATTTTCAAAAATGTAATATTATATATGAGCATTACATGATACTAAACATAGAAGACAATTACTTTAGTTTATTTTGAAACTGGTGCCACTAGCTTCGAACGTTATTGTATTATAATAAATTTTTGTTTAATATTTAAGACCAACTGGTTTCAAGCATTTATAAATTGCAAAAGTGCAGGCATGGAATTGGCTAGTATAACCACGCAGGAAGAACAACACAACTTGGAGCACTTTATGAAAGAACATGGTTACAACGGTAAGTAAGATAAGGTAATATAAGCCTCTTGGCAACACCTACTTAGTTAATACTAGCTTGTTGCCATCGTTAATCATTTCACTTTTCGTCTTGATTAGTTAGATTCTTCGAAAAAAAAAAGATTTTACATAAAGCTTAAGAAGTGTTTGAAAATAAACAGTACACAAATTGGGTCATTTTTTGTAAAAAAAAAACATAATAATAATAATAAAATATAAAAATTATTAAAATAATTATGTTTTGACATTTTTTTAGCTATATTTTTACTTCTAAACAAGTTGTACAGTAAATTAACATGTCAATCAATATTATTTCTATTTACAGTACACTATATTATTTTATAGGATAACGGATAATAATAAAAAGTGTGCAGTTTCATTTACTGGTATAATAAAACTGGCACAGATAGTAAGGGTTAGATAGAGGCAACATACTGCGTATATGAGAACAAAATCACTGTACAGCTTGCAAAAAGAATAATTAATTTTTGTGAACCAATTAAATGTATGTGCAATTAATTTATTCTTTAAGAGGGATATTGGCTATCGGGAACGAATCTAGGCGATGGGAATTTCTATTGGGCATCGACAGGGACAAAAGTCGTATACGCAAAATGGCTACAAAATCAACCTGACGACGCCAAGCTCGCGGAAAACGATTACAAAGGGGAAAATTGCATCCAATGGGGAATCTACAGGTCTTCGCCCAATCCCATCGGTTGGAACGACCTAATGTGCAAGTATCAGCTAAAATATATCTGCCAGGACTACTCCTATTGTTCTCCGGCTAGTAATTTTGTTAAATGACTACATTAGATTTGTTTGAAAACTTTTATTCTCTTTGCATTGTGATAGATAAATTATTTGTTGATATTTATCAATATATTTTTATAAATATATGCGTACGCTTTTTTGCCAAGCCAACGTTTTAACAATGTCTTGTATAGAAAACGGATTTCTTTCTGGGTCGAGGGAAAATTCTTGGATATTGTACGTTCCTGAAAATATAATAACGTATAACATATAATAATGAGGACTTGTAAAATACATATCGGGAGACTACTGCGTTTTTTATCCCCCACATTACTGGTTTTTTTATTAAAAGATTTCAACGCGTTGTTTAGTCTTGGTTAGTGGTTAGTTAGTTTTAGTTAGTTAGTTAGTTAGTTAGTTAGCGCTGTTTTCAAAATCCAAAGTATAATTCAAAAATAAACTAATATAGATACAATTATTTTTTTCAATCGAACTGTTCAACACACAAATTTAGTCGGTTTGTAAGATAAATCGCAGTATTCTCTGGATCTACATTTTAAAAACAGTTTTCTTTGTATTAAAACAAATTAAGTAAATTGAGGATTATCTGTTAAAATAGGACTTACCGTTATCGTTTGGATTATACACAATAATCTTGGCAAACGAAAATTCAATATCGTCCCAATCAGAGTCATCTATTATACTAGAACAAAAAAAATCATTATGTACTTGCCTTCAGCAATATTGTTCTAAAAATAAGTTGGTTCCAACTTCCAACAAAAATATTCTGGATTCTCTCGCATACTTCGTCTGGAATCACATGCAGAGTAATACTTTCATTGCGCATATCCGTTGTGGATCTCCCAACTCTCTCTTTTCTGGGTATTATACTACCGCCTCTATAGAATATAGGAATCTGGAAGGCATTGAAAAAATACTTTTAAAAAAATGTAACGCCAATATTACGTACAAAACTTATATCCACTGGAATATCGCCCCATTCCGCGCCTTGAAAAACCCTGCTGATATTTTGACTATCAAGTACTTGATACTATTTCTGCTGCTTGCCTCCAGGAAAGTATACTCGGACTGATGTTAGATTTGATTCATAAACTGACGCAACCATAATATCAGTGCCTAAAAAAGAATAACAATTTTTCTGTGCGTTATTGGTGTGAAACACTCTTACGAAGGAAAAATTGATCATTAATATCGTACGTTTGATCGTCTTGCGAATAATCGTAGAGCAATGGTCTGATGAGGGGGTCACCACGTAAGGTGTGTTCGTAGAAAACAGTGTACCAATAAGGCCTATATATCCTATAGCTTCCCGAAGGAGGTCTTGAACATCAGGACTAAAGGTGTAAGGCTCTCGTCTTGGGCCCGACCACGCGTGTGCTCTGTAGAACGGAATCCAACTTCCGAGCTAAAATCCTCATCAACGTGTCCTGTAAGTATCGGGTTCCCCTCATCTGTCTCTTACCTGATACCATCTGATGGTCAGTTCCTCTGTAGCCCCATATCTGAACGTCGGCTCCGTAAAACACAATTCCAGCTAAATTCGCTGCCATTGTCATAGGCACAGTAAAACGCATATCCTCAAACAACCCGTCGTTATCCCCACTCCATTTTGCTGCGTACCTCTGACTTTCGGCAAACGTCGATCTGGTTAGTATGAACGGCCTGTACCTACCATTGTCCCGTGCCATGATACTTTTATGAGACGCTATTACCTACAGAACTAGTGTAGTGTAGTGCAATAGCGATCATTTCGATACAATGTACCTGTAGTAAATCAATCAGGTTATGTATATCCCTATGCAAAATATTTCTATAATACAACGAAGAAAATGGCAGAGTTCGTTCGTATAAATTATCAAATAACGTTGGTTCGTCCATATCGTTCCAGAACCCCGCCAAAGTCAGAGAGGATGGAAAATTTTCGTAGGAATAGAGAGTGGCAAAATAATCAATCACTTCGGGATTCAGAAGGTCCAACCAGGAGCTATTTCCGACCCAACATAGATTAACGAAATTACTCCCATCTGGATTTTTGACGAAGTAATTGTTTGTCAATCCGTCGGAATATACTTTATAAGTAGGATCAACTTTTATGTTAAATTCAGTCATGGCGGTCACTTTTCTACGTGAGTGCGACTCGGTCCAATCTAAAACCGAAAAACTTCATCTACGGCTCTAATATTATAAAAAGAACATCGTTTGGTTCCAAGTAAACCACCGCAGCTCGTCTGTGGCAGTTCTTACCAACCACATCGATTCCAGTGGAAAATCGTAGAGGTCAAATTTGATTATCACGTCCTTAACGTCTTCCGAAGATTCGTACGATACTCTGCACTGATGATAGCCTAGTGTCCAAAGCTACAAATGTATTAAAATGTGATATTTTTTTACTTTTTGTAGTTTGAACCTGCGGCAAATGAGCGATTCCCGTTAAATTCATATATTGTCTAACGGTTTCTTTTAACGTAGGTCCCATCAACACGAAAAGATCTAACACTCCCCCGTCCACCATAAAGTAAGTCAAATTTGTTTCGTAATTCACGTCAATAAACATTTCAGCTGCGTTATGAAGAAATATTCCGCATTACTCCTTAAATTTTAAAACTCCAGAAAAACGAAAACAATATCACAATAGCTCACCCGAAGCCGTATACTAAAGGAACAGCACCATACATCGATTTTGTTGTGTTAAGATCGTAGCTATAAGTACCATAATCGGTGTTCCTCAGCCTGTATGGATCTACAGAGAGATCGGACGTGTGACGCAGATTAAGGCCATCCGCATGTTCGTGAAGTCCTAGGGGAATGAGATAGAAACTGCAAATGCTTGACTTTCGTCGGTCTGAAACCATTCGAACGTAACGAGAGATCGATTGTCAAAAAAGAATATGAAGAAGATAAAGATATTGCTTACATTTTCCATAATAAGTCGACCTGAATCGAAAACACTCTGCAAAATATCCCCACAAAAAAATTCAATCTGGAAGGGAGATGAATATATTACAAATTCTTCTCCATCTCCGAACGAACCCCTAATTAAATCTGTGTCGACCTTGAGGTCCGTAATTCTGGGGAGAAGATTATTTTAACTCAAACTTCAACTTTAAACCCATTTAGGCACGTACTTTGCCAGTGTGGGATCTTGCGCCAAAACGTAAGGTAACTTGTATCGATGCGCGTCTAATTCTTCGATCCTAATTCTGTATCGCCTACCTACGATACCTTGCAAAATAAAACTTAACTGACTACCCTCTCTGTTTGTAAGCATGTACGCTACAGATTCTCCATCTGTCCCCTGGTACACACCATAGTAGTCTTGATCTTCGTTTGGTAGCCTAGTTCTCAAATTACTATTGAATTGAATTGAAGTTTCAAGAAATGAGCATTTATATATGATTTAATTTTAACTTACGAGCAAAACGCTCTTGTGGAACAATTAAACGGAAATGGTACGTCTTCATTTTTCCCGGGCACCAGTCCGTCACCGTTATCATCTGCTATTATCGGGACCAAGACGAGCCAGCTCAGAATAATTACACACGGAATTCTAAAATATTATGTGCTTGTTACAGAACTAATTGGTGACTGGGTATGGTAAATACTGAACTAATTCGAATTGGCTGCTTCTAGCTCTTTCCAAATCTCCCCACCTCTTACCTCAGTTGAGGAGCTTGGGAGAGAGAGAGAGAGAGACGTCTAAAACCGAGAATTTTAAAAACAGATGGGCTGTATCTTATTAATTTTCCAAGAAAACTAGGTCAAAATATATTACATTCAAGTTAATTAAAATAATATCAACTTGAATTTTTATTTTTTTTTATTTGAGCCCCTTTACGATTATGCTTACCTCAACATTGTTTGCTTGAATATGTTTACACATTGTACAATTACATTACCCGATTGTTAAGTATTCACTTATTATCTTAAAGGTGCATGTGATTACATTTTTTTACATTTAAGCTACAACCAATAGCTATCGATTTTTCAACAAGCCGCGATTATCAAAAGATGACATTATAAAGTCCAACAGCATTTCTCTAATAACTACTCTGTTTCACTCACAAAAAGCGATTTGATAAACGCCCGCAGAAAATTATTAATTTATCATAATATTAAATAATTCGCTATTCCAGTTATTTCTTAAAGAATTGAAAAAGCCCTATATAGTTTTTTCCTCAAAATAACAATTTTTTGAGTTATAAATCAAAGCTGTGTTTTTGAAATGGTACTAACTTTGCCCTTTTCAATTTTTTTAAAAACATGTAATAGTATGCACTTTTCCTAGAAAAACATAGAAAAAAATGACAATTTTCTAATTTTAAAAGATAGCCACGATTGATAATTATTTGACAGAAACTTTTGAACACAATCCGGTTATTTGTTTTTTAAAGATGATTTTTTTAAAATAATAATTAATTTCAAAATACCTACACCTACACCTCTTTTAAAATAAATCAAAATATTTTTTCAAGCATTACTATCTCAAATCATGCAATTGTTTCAGATATAATTTATTAAGCATTTCAAATTTCGCTAATCAATAAACACTGAATAATTTTCAAAGAGTTATAAAAACGTTATAAATTGGCATTCGGGAAAGTGGTCTTCAGTTTAAACATCACCTTTGCTAGTTTTAATGTTATATTTTCGTTTTCCTTACTTAATTTTATTTTAAGTAATGGTTTTTTTTTCTATTTAGAAAATTGCTAATCTACATTATTATGCCTTACTGTTTGCTAAGTTATTAAATTAATAGGTTATCAGTTTATAATATACCGTGTAACCTTACTGTTAATTTCAAAAAAATGTAATTAATTAGTGTGTTTCCGGAAAAAAGAACGTAATATTATTTTTATTATATTATATTATTATATTTATTTATATATTTTTTGCCCTGCCAACACATTAAAAACTGAAATATGTGGCTATCCCAAAACTGAAAGTTTTCAAAATCACCCGGAATCTCAAAGACCAAGGAAGTTATGGAAATGTTATGTATGTTATCTTTGTTTTCACAAAAAGCAGTACGTCAGAAATTTTGATTGAAAGCAAGCGAAGGGAATGTTATTTATTTCAAATTAATATATAAACTTTCTTCACTGGATGCCAAAACTCCGCGAAAATCAAGTTCCACGATCGGAGTTCCTTCGGAGGTTGTTGTAAAATCTTCGATATAGTAAGTACCTGTGAAAAATTGAAAATAAGTAATGCAATGCAATAGCCAAGATTTTTATTACCGTCATCTGCCAAGCGATAGACAATAATCCTATCGAAGGAAACCGTGAAATCATCAGAATTGGCAGCGTCGTCAAACTTTCTAAAATAAGAAAATAACATGGAGAGTACATCCTTTGCAAATCCGTAATATGTACCTGACTTGAACAATCTCTCCATTAAAAGTAACGTTCAAATATAGGAACTTATTCTCAATAATGTAGTCAAAACTTTCGTAATCGTCAACGTAAACTTGTCCGTAAGCAATATTGTTCTGCAAGCAAAATCGTGTTAAGAAAAATGTAAATATAAGTTGCGACCTGTTGCTATCATTTTCCGATAACGTTTAAATCACTTACGCCATCAGGAATGACATGCAGAGTAATGCTATCCTCTCGCGTTTCTGCTGACGACCTCTTAACTACTTCCTTCCTCGGTATTATACTACCGCCTCTGTAAAATATGGGAATCTGGAAAATATTTCCTTCAAATTTAATCTCACCAAATCGCCGATACTTACGGACGTTATATCTACAGGAATTGATACCAAATTTCCACCTTCAAACGCGCGGGTATTGTTTCCGAGCACTTGGTACCAAACCTGTTCCTTGCCTCCCGGGAAGTATACATCCACTGCTGTTAAATTCGATTCAAAAACTGAAGCCACCAATATATCCCTTCCTAAAAATTCATAATTGAGCCTGATTTTAATTTCAAAAACGGCATCTACAAGAAATACCAATCAAGAACTGGTCATTGAGGTCGTAGACTTCGCGATCTTCAGAATATTCGTAGAGCAGTGGTCTCACGATAGGATCTCCTTGAAGCGTATGCTCGTAAAAAGTGGCGTACCAATAAGGCAAGTGCTTATATCTCCAGCTCATAGCTTCTTTAAGAAGAACTTGAATGTCGTCGTTAAAAGTGTATGGTTCCCTTCTAGGACCAGACCAAGCGTGAGCGCGGAAGAACGGAATCCAACTTCCGACCTGAGAAATTTCTAAAATAGACACTAAATAGTTAGTGACTAAGATGAGTACCTGATACCATCTGACGGTCAATTCATCTGTTGCTCCATATCTAAATCCGGGTATGTCGGCTCCGTAGAATACGATACCAACTAGATTCGCTACCATCGTCATGGGAACTGTGAAACGCATATCCTCAAATAATCCCTCGTTGTCACCACTCCATTTCGCGGCATACCTCTGGCTACCGGCAAAAGTTGAACGACTTAATATAAACGGCCTTAATCTTCCTTCGTCTCGCGCCACTAGTCCTTTGTGAGATGCTTTTACCTAGATAGAAACCTACCGTTAACTAATACCGCAAATGTGTGCTTCTTGACAGTATAATAAAAACCAATAGATCTCCAAAGTGTTTTTTTTTCACAAACGCGAGATGAAGCAGACTGAAATACTGCTATCCATTATGGACCACAGTGTCCTCATGGTGCCCTCGAATATCAGATCCAGGCAACCAATGACAACATCCTTTTTGATAGGAGTGACTGATCTCACAGGAACATACGAAAACTGATGTTTAGATAGAGCACTTAAAAACAGAACAGTCCATCAATATTGGTGTACTCCTCAGCCCGATTCAGGTAGAATTCTGTCACAGTGCAAGCAACAGACGCCAGCTGGGATGTAGTACTCCAAAAATCCTTTCAGATCGTTTTGAAGGCTATATTGCAGGTGCTGATCTTGCAAGGAAGGAGAAAGAAATGATGAGCTGTTAACGATAAGCATGCTACATCTAGAAAAACTGAACCAGATCATAATATATACGATGGCCATTCCAAATTTAGACATGAGGTTGGAGATATAGCTGACCACTGGTAAGAAGGACCTAATACTCAACTTCATTAAGCATCATTACCATTATCCTAAACCAAACTTAACCACTTGCCTGTAATAATCCATACATGTTGTGGATATCGCGATGCAAAACGTTTCCGTAGTGAAGAGACGAAAACGGTAAAGTTCGTTCATATAAATTATCGAACAAAGCTGGTTCGTCCATATCATTCCAAAAACCAGCTAGAGTGGGAGTAGATGGGAAGTTGTCGTAAGAGTACAATCCGGCATAATAATCAAGAGCTTCTGGGTTGAGGAAATCGAACCACGTACTGTTCCCTGCCCAGCAAATATTGATAAAGTTGGTACCGTCTGGATTCTTTACGAAGTAGTCATTTTTAAGGCCATCGTTGTACAATTTATAAGTAGGATCCACCTTTATGTTACATTCTGTCATGCAGGTCATTTTCCTATGTGCCTGTGACTCGGACCAATCTGAAACTTCAAGTTAGAAATTTATACAGTGATTTTAAGCAATCGCCTTGCCTAAGAGCGAGATAATATCGCTAAATGTGGAAGCGTTCCATGTAAACCATCGTTGGTTATCGGTTGCCGCCCTGACTAACCACATTCCGTCCAACGGGTAATCATATTGGTCGAATTTGGTGATTATATCTTTGACATCATCTGTAGATTCGTAAGAAACCCTGCACTGATGGTAACCTAAGGTCCAAAGCTGCGAAAAAACAAAGTTGAAAGTATTCCAAAGAATTTATTTGATGCAAACATAAATGTTCCACCGATATGCATTAATGCAGTTGCCGAAATAAAAATTCATTTTTGCTACGTTCAAGAAATTTGGTCCATCGAAGAAATATTTCCCAGAAGTATCACTTATATCACATATACTAACCTGGGGTAAATGGGCAACTCCTGTCAAATTTAAATACTGTCTGACTGTATCTTTCAGTGTCGGCCCTAAGAGTACGAAAAGATCCAAAGTTCCGCCATCCACCATAAAATATGCGGATTGGTTTGCGTTATTGACATCAACGAACATTTCTGCAGCATTATGCAGAAACACGCCAGAAGTTGAATTAGTTCTGAAGAAAAAAAATCGTCTCCATTATTCTGCAAGAGAAGACCAATTAAGATTAAGCTAACTCACCCCACACCGTATAGAACAGGAACAGCGCCATACATAGATTTGGTGCTGTTAATATCGTACGTGTAGGTACCGTAATCTGTGTTCCTCAGCCTGTAGGGGTCGATGGAGAGATCAGCAGTGTGGCGCAGTGTCAGACCATCCGCATGTTCGTGGAGCCCTAAAAGACGATCTGCTTCGGGAAATCTTAACGCGAATGCAAAGGCTTGGCTTTGGCCCGTCTGAAATTGTATTAAGTTGAAAACTGGTTGCTGTTGAGCACATATTAGGCTCTCACGTTTTCCATAATCAGTCGGCTGGGTTCAAAAACACTTTGCAATACATCGTCGTAGTAAAACTCAATTTTGAAGGGCGAAGCGTATATAATAAATTCGTCACCTTGTCCATACGATCCTCTAACCCATGCGTCATCAATTTGGAAGTCTGTGATGCTAAAACCGCATAAATTTTACTAGGACTAAGAATCAAGCATTGAAGTGATTACCTTGCCGATAAAGGATCTTCTACCAGAACGTAGGGCAATTTGTATCTGTGCCGATCAATTTCCTCTATATTAATTCTATATTTCCTGCCCGCGAGTCCTTGTAAAGTGAACAATAATTGGTTTCCTTGGTTGTTTTCCAAAATGTAGACGAATGAGTCTCCATCTAGATTTTGATATAATGCGTAGTAATCTTCGTCGCGAGTTGGTATCCTTGTCCTCAGGTTACTAACAAAACGAGAGAACGTGAATACCCAAAACCTAATATTACATTCTTACGTACGAGCAAAACGCTCTGGTGGAACAGTTGAATGGGAAAGGAATATCTTCGTTATTGCTGGGTACTAAACCACCATCGTCGGCACCTATTACTAGAGTTACCATGCAACCCCATATGAAAAGTTTGGCAAACCTATTGTCAACGACAGAATATGAATGAATAATAAAGAACATAAAAATTATAAGAGCGTTTTCTACAATAAATCTGGTTTATGTTTATGTAAAATATTATAGTTAAGTGGTTGGGTCGGCACTTCTAAAAACATTATGACCGATTATATAATTGCTTTGAAAGTGCCGACCCCAAACATCAAAATATAAAATTTCATATTTAATGAAACTCGTTACTGACTAGCTCCCAGCAGCACCTCAGTGTTAATATTTTACAATAAGAACTTACATTATCGTTAAATTTTGATGGAAACACCATTAGCCAAGCGATCACTTCATTGTGTAATTGTGTACACGACAATATATTTCGATTAAATGCTATCACCAGAAGAATGATTAATTAGATTTTATCAAAAAGTGGAGTGTAATCAAAAAAACAATGTTTGTTGACTATGTCTTATCGCAAAGTAGAACAGTTTTGAACCACTTCAGGAAACCTCAGCGGTTCTGCATATTTGACCAATCTTTATTAAAATGTCGATTTTCCAGTATTCAAGACTTCGAGGTCAGCTCAGTCGTAACCTACAGTTAAAACTTGTATTAAGAATATACGACAAACGCATCTCCACACTTATTACCTCCCTGGCGACATCATTGCAGACTCCTGTGAAAGTTATTAAATGATTTTATTAGGAATATTAGATTCAGAGATCAAATTTAGAGAGAATATTCTTTTCAACCTGATGATAGTATTATTTGGACTAGTAAAACTGTATTAATTGCAATATGTTAGGTTGCTAAATGATCGGAGATATTATCTAACTATTTTTATAAAAGGCACTTTAGTCACGAGTGTCTGGAGAAGGTTGTAAACCTATTTTTTTACCCCTTTCTTGGAACTACCCACTTATGCACTGATAAATTCTTTAAAGCTGTAGCTGCGTTTCTTCCTGTGTTTTCGCTCTTGCTCGTGCTGTTTGGCAAAAGTGTACCGCTCGCTCCGCTGCATTTCGCTGGTGATAAAACAAATTCGTGATTACAGTACCGTTTATTAAACTTAATGTACTATTAATTTATAATTGCTGTCATTATACTTTTTTCCCGATAAGCATTATGTAGTAAATCTTTAGTTAAGTTGAAAACTAAGCCCTAACCGATTTTGCCATGCGTCAATTAAATGACACGATGATGATCGTAAAGAAATGATGCAATAAATAGTTTTTTTTACTCCCGTGTGTAAAATACCTAATTACACACCGATCTAGCGTGCGGGAAGCATCACTTTACCATGACAGTTTCGGCACGGCACGGGTTTGGGGGCAATTGGATGTTTTCGGAGATATTTCCCACGCCTTGAATGTTAACGTTTGTCAATTCTGACGGTCATGTCAGTGAATGTATTCGTGTTGTTTTGCGAAAATGTTCCCAAAAACTAGAGCTCGTAGAAAAGGTATAGTATGCAACGCGTTTGATAAACTTCTTAAGTCACTCGTTTATTAAACACTCGTTCTGCTCGTGTCAAATAAACTCGTGAGTCAAATGCCGTTTACCGCACTTGCTGCATAATATACTATTATAAGAACTTTATTAAAGGGCGCAAAGGAGGCATTTGGATAATTAGTAAACAAATATTTAAAACAGTTTTATTTAAGTAGTATAAACAATACACATTCGGCAATAATCAATTAAAAAACGGCCTTTCTGTCGCAGAGACAGCGAAGACGCTATCTCCTCGCCCAAAATTTGTAATTGTATTTCACTGGCAAACGTAGGTAATTGGCGCCGTAACACTCAAAATTCAGTCCGATGCGAGTATCTCCTGAAACGAAAATGAAGAACAAATCAGTTTCCGATGTCAATGCATATAGTAATACAGCGTGACCCATCTGAGATGAAATACGCACTGATCGAGAAAGTGGAGTTATTATTTCACTCTAAATAGTGAACAAAGTGGCCTTTTACCTGGCAAGTGAGCAAAAATACGCAACGTAAACGATTATATAATTAGACTATTGAGCTTATGATATGGTTTAAGCCAAAAGAAGTATTTTTCCTAAACCTTGCGATTCTGCAAAAATTAAATTAAAAAATTAAGAAAAAAATTAATCTGTTAAGTTAAATACCTTGAACGTAACAAAAACGTAAAAAGATTTGGATTTTATTTGAAAAGGAGAAAATGTGACAAAAAGCAATTGTTATTCAGAAACCAGCCCCAATATCTTACTGGATTAAGAAATAATGCAATTAAAACATTGTTGGAATTAATACTTCACATATGAAAATACTATCTTCGAAACCAGGTGGGTAATGTATTTTTGGATTTCACTGGTTTATAGGATTCAACATTTTGCGGACATTTTTGAAACACTATTTTTTAACCATATATTTTAAAACCATATATTTGTTGTTCTCAACTAACCGTGGTAGGCAGTATGGTTCATCAGTTTTCTTGTATCCCTTAGGGGCAGATTTTTTAAATATATTAAGGGGGCGTAAGCCAGGGGACAGTCTACATTAACGTCTACTTTAAACCCTAAATGGGAAAAACTGTAAAGCACATCATCATTTGAATTTACTGCGATCAGTTCAATGTGTTGATTTTCGTCCTGGTCCAGATCGACGGCATCTTCGAATCCATCTTCATCCATATCATCGTCCGATCCGAATCTTTGCGCATACGCGGCTGAGAAAAAGATAACGTTTATGAGAAACGGTCTCATATTTAAATTTCACCTTCGTTCATAACACCGTAGTAATAAAAGATATCTTCGACATCGCCAAAGCCAGTGTATACGTTACTTCCTGGTGCTTTGATCGTTGTAGGGGAACGGGGACGAATTAAATTTTCACGGCAGAATTGCTCCTGCTGCAGATTCATGTCGTTGTGCGCGAGCACAATTCTTCGGAGACGCATGTGCATCAGCCTTTGCTTCTGGGACAATTCTACTCTCTTGGCGGATATTATGGGCACGGCCATGAACCAAGAATTTTTAAAGAAGAAACTATACTGAAAAAAGTATCCAAATTTTATTTTTTAAGGCAACCCCTCAAAATAAAGTATGTTACAAGAAAGTTCTTAATACCTTGAGGCAAACCTTAAAGTTTTTTTAATAATTCAATTTAATTAATTTAATAAGTTAAGTAAACTGTAACCATAGAAACATATGTTATATCTCAATTATAAACGCCCTCCATTCTTATACAAGGTGCCCAAAATTCTAATCTAATGACAACTAAAATGATTTCAATATATACCATAGCTAACTCCTCGCGTTTTAGCACAATTCGGGAGATTATCTAATTATCTATGGTATTTGGAAAAGACACATAATTCGTTAAGGTAGCCAATTTGATGTCGTTTTTCTGTGAAGTGTGTTTACTGGATGATGACTGCCACTAGGTAGGTATAATGTATCCTATTTTTAAAAATTTTACGAAATTTGAAAATTTTGAAAAATTTACCACACTAACTAATGGAGCAAAACATGTATTTACAATAAATTACACTTGCATATTGTTTTCTTGAAACCATTGCAAACTCTGGACAACATTTGCGAAGTAATCGTCAACATGCCTTCAACTACATCGCTGTTCTAATATTTAAAAGGACTTCTACTAACAAAACAGAACCAGCTAGAGATATTTCATTCTATTATAGCACCTCACACATTCAGTTTTTTCAGATATCAGAAAAACTGAAAACTATCTACACTAAAGGTGGAATAAAGAGATACCCATTAGAAGACTGTGTAACTCAGGGAAAAAAGTTTCTTACTGACGCAAATATTAAACTATTCTATCTACTAACCGCATGAGATAAGTAGACGTTAAAAACAATTTTATAATAATTATAATTTAGGGAGTTTAATCTTAAATTCCATATGTTTGTTGCCACGTGTTGTTTTACTTTTCTAGTGTTATGCTATTATAGACTTGGATTTATAATTTAAAGTAAGACTTTGAATATTTATATAAAATACGTCTATTACCTGTTCTTATATTTTTCAAAGTGGGAACAATTTTTTTACCAAAAATGAAAATTTATATATTGAAAAAATAATGAAAGTAAAAACTAAACTAAAGTACTTCTTTTCAGGACAAATATCATTCTTTTGTCAACTGTAGTAGATGATATGGACATAGCAAGGAATCAAAAAGTTTTTAGCAGCTAGCTATTGGTGCAACATAACAATATTTTTAACTTATGGTACTAGAGACAAAAATGATTTTAGCAGTTTGTTACCATAAGGTCGCTTTATACAAATAAACCATCGAAATAACCATACTTTAGCCTGATATGTGCTGCCGTGTTGACGTTCGAAATGCAGCCTTTTGTCGGCAAACCGGCTGCAGTTCAGTATGTCTAAAATTTTGCAACCGCTGAGTACCAACGAATCCGGTAAGCGTTCTTCATTGATTTTATCGAAATGTACGCAAAACTGTTTAGTCATTAGAATTATTCCCGACACTTCCGGAGGCAGCGACTGCAAAACAGTTTCGTACAACGCACAACGTCTGGCATTTATTGAGCAGTTACTCACGTAAGCATTGAGTATGGCGGGGCCGTAGAGCAGGTTCGGACAAACTTTAAATTTCCAAATGAACGCGTCGAAAGTATCGATGATTAACCCTGCGTACATGCTAGACTTGCACGTTTTGTAATAGCCATTGTAGACGTACCGCCAAATGGTGGCAATGATAATGGTATACTGCAATATGATCCCCCAATGACTTACTCCCTGGTTATACTAATTTTGTTCCAACGGATTCGATAGCTGGTGATGGGCAAATAAATCAAAACATTCCAACCACTATCGTTACCATTGCCAAACGATTTTAAGAAGGGTAATTTCGATCGTTGCTATTCAGGGAGAACTATTTGATTGACATATGCAATGAAGGGCCTGAGTGAGACCTCAGTGTGCAGGTTGCTTGGATTTCGTGGTTCTTGTTTTGGTTATAAATTTATTAATAATTATAAATAGTGGCGAAGGAAGCAGTAACTTTCTAAGAAAATCCTCATACACCTTAAATTAGCTAAACTATTTCGCCTCCCTTTTCCTTCTTTTAGGTTTAGTTGCGGAAAGTGAAGACGAACTCGACAGGCTTCTACATAAATTTGGACTGGCCTATGACAAACTACGGGTTCAGGATATTTTCGAAAAAGACAAAAAATCTCACGATAGCTAAAGAAACGTTACGTTGTAAGTGCCAAATTTACATTAGTATCGTTGAACAAGTGCCATCCTTCAGCTATCTACCTCGGTGTCCAAATAACGAGAACAAGAACATCAGTAAAGAACTCAGACTTCAAACTACTGTCCGTTAAATCTAAAAGCCTCAACGATATAATGTAGTCGATCAAGTATCACACAAACAACACAAACAACAACAACTATAAGAGCGGCAACTGCTTCCGAAACAAGAGACAGAACAACAACCTCATATATGACTGTTGTCTGCGTAATGAAAATATTGATAAAAATCATGGACAAGACAAGGATGGGAATAAGGAATGACGATATCAGAGACAACTGCAAAATTCAGAACGTTACCTTGGAAAAAACAGGTTCTAGACCTATTAATAAGAAGAAGAAAGAGACAATTTCAAATAAATAAATCCCTAGAATCAGAGAATAGAATTGTTTGGGAACAGTGCAAAATTCTAAAATATGATATTGGAACAAAACTATTAGCTATTTTCGCGCAACGGATCCAAAGATCATGCACATTAGTAAATTGACTGTTCAAAAATCAAACTAGTATTATGCATTTTATTGTTGCACACTATACTTTTTCTTTTGATACATTATTTGAATAACAACACGACATGTGACGTTACCATCAGAACCACCAAAACTTGAAATATCATCAGTAAAAACTACCGAAAACATTCGATGGCTGCCAAATCCATCGCATAAGTTGGATATTTGGATATTTTAAATTAGAAAAGAAAGTTATACGAAGTCATTCGGTACTCGAATGGGGCAGGGTTTTTAGGGCGGAAAAAATTGTTACTTAACTCAATTTATTGGTCATTATTTTGGTTGATTGGGATATGAGGTTTTTTGCTGCGTTTTTTGTTTATGATAGAAATTGCAAAATTGGCGTTGACGCTCAGAAGTAAATTTCTATAAATCCAAGAATATGAGGGTTGAAGACATTGATACTTTATTTCTGTCAACAACAAAACTGCATTTGTTAAAAAGGTAAAATCGCAAAAAGCAAAACTTACATTCTCTTATTAGATAATTCTAAAGCGATATAAGCTAATAAATCCATAATTCATGAATATGATATATGATTATATTAATTATGTTTTTATGTCCCCTCCTCTAAAATACTCAATTGTGCAATGATCAGGAGCGCGCAAAGTGCCCCCTTAAGTCATCAGCTTCGTTAAACACTGTCGCGAGACTTTCTGATACTTTAGTCACAGGTTGGGAGTGATCGGATGTTTTCGGTAGACTTAAAACACTGATGATACTTTGACGATTGATGGTTCTGATGGTCACTCAACAACTAGTGGTCGTGAAAAAAGTGAATACTCGTTTATTAAACATTCACTCCGCTCGTGCCTAAACAAATTCGCGACTAAAGTGTCCGTTGATAAGAATATGTTAGGGATTGCCTGCGCGAAAATTGCTATAAACATGTAGCACAGATACCTGCAATTTTAAAATTTCGAGCATGTTTAATAATTTTGTGATGCAACTGATCTCCATGTTGTCGCGCGTATAACCCAATGATATTTCCACGGCGTTTATTAGAGCGTCTAGCGTTGCTTCTATTTTCTTGAAAACTAAGTTTAATCTATCCTCGGCGACAACTTTGAATCTTCTGTTGACTTGTCTTACCCTCATACCTGGAACGATAGTCATTATTGTTGATATAGATGGTGTAATTCCCACGGACAATAAATTATGTTTATTTGTTTAAAAATTATTGAAATTTTTTAGCGACCTACTGACTGACTGATAAGCGCTGGTAAATTGAGTACCCGCACTTGGTCCTCTATTGCGGATAAGTTGTGGGACACTCGGTATAAATAAACGGAACTTATTACATCAACTGCTTTAACGTCACAAAACAATAGAGATAAGTTGTGAGTAGATAATTCGTAACTACCTAGGTTGATACGATCTCATCAGTAAGCATCGAATTCATTAAAGACAAATTTTTTTTTAATTTGGATCTGAAAAACAATGATAAACAAAACGAAGGTAATATTTCGTACGATGTTCTAATTTTTTAACGGAATTAACATGGGACCAATAATCCATAAATGCTTGTTGAAAAATTTGTTGACATAATGCATTATTGAATAGTTATGGTTTAATGAGACATTTATCTTAATCGTAATTTTTATATATGAAAATATAATTTAACAATAAGCAATGTTTTTTATTAGAAAAATTAAATTGATTTTTTGAAGAACATATTGTTATACTCAAAAAACAATAAAATAAAAAAAGGGATAAATTAAAATACAATTCTATATAATTTCTAGAAGGGATAGATATGACGAAACGATTTTAAAAGAAACATTGTAGATATATTACAGAGTTTGTTGCGCTATACATCATTGAATAATACGGTCAAAATGACTTTCAATATAAATAAATTAAGCATCGTATTTTATATCCCAATCCTTATACAGAATTAAAAAAAAAATAGTCTAATCAAATAGGTATTGAATAAGACTCAAAAAATATTTAAGGTTTGACCCTAATAAACTAATTAGAACAGGCTTTGGAATTTTAAAAAAATTGTGATATACAGGACGTTCCATGTTAAAGCATACAACCAACACTATTAAAGGAGTTAGTTATACTATAGGTCCTTACCCAATTCGTTGTATGAAATGTGCTTAAAAATGTTCTGAAGGACTTCGGTTGGAACAAACATTATCGGATTTTTTCTTTTTCGCGCCTCTGAAATGTGGAAGCAATAGTGCGATGTTGATGGTCTTTCCCGATCAACACACTCTCCTGATGATAACTTTCTCCTCTTGGAACGTGTGTAATAACCACGCGCAACATCGTCCTCGCAGTCGCTTTTCTCGTTTAATTCTTCCATTGTTTTTTTTTTCAATACGCGCGTTACTTGTTTTCTCGGGAGCAAAGCCCTTTTAATTTTGAAAAAGATTTTGACAGCCAATTTTGACGTTTTCGTGATTGGAAAGCCGTTTGGTGTTAAGATTTTTAACTGCAAATGCTGTATTGTTTGGCTGTTCAGTTTCACAAAATGAATTTCCGCTGTTTCAGTTGAAAAAAACAACTTTAAAACTCTGTAATGGTAATAAAAAAAATTTCTTCAAGTACCAGATGACCGGCCCTCACCTTAGTTCAACATCTCAACTCTCGAATTGCTGAAAATTTTTAGTATTCGACGTTCTCACCAGATATAAAAAAAATAAATATAGTTATTTCTCCCAAAAAATATTAACGAAACGGCTTTCTACTTTTGGATCAATAGCCAAATTATATGAACTAAAAGTGTCCAAATTATAGGCTTGTACCTCCATAGAAACGGCAATATAAAACATTAAAGAACATAGAAGTTTTGTGTAGGTAAAATGTTTTAAGATATATGCTGTTTTCCTTTTTGACTTTCTTAGCTGGTAGGTTTGCTTTTCAGTTTAAATTTGTTTTATACATTTTGATAAATATTAAGGAAATAATATTGTAATTATAAATGTTAACAAAAGAGATATTCGCTTTTACTTCTAGTTAACTTTTGGCTAATAATTTTTGCATTCTAATTTAATCCATCTTAAGCTAGAGTCAGCCCTTAGACTAGAAGAAGGTCGGAGCTATTGATTACTATAGCTATTGAAATGCGGCGAGATTAAATATCTAAACATCTGCCGATTCGATGTTTGGCTGGCAAAACTTTCGACGTAAAATAAGTTAATTAACATAGAAATGATAAGCTAGAAATATATAGGCAGTTTTTTAAATTAACCTAAGTCTCCTGAGAGTTTGAGAGAGAAAATGCAAATTTGTGCATATTTTACGAAATAAATGCTTTGTATGTTAGAATACCATGATTTTTTATCATTTTTCACACTAGTCACGCCAGAAATGTTTAAAATTAAACAATACCAGATAATTGTCACTATCAGAACGAAATGCATTGTTAGTTAGAATGGTAATAGCGGTTAGTTACCAATACGGAATGACAATGGGTTATTACGCAGGCAAAACCACAACCACAACGAAATGGCAAATAATCAAGACCTAAAATATGCGAAAACAAAATAATTTTATTTGATAAAATATATTTTACTGTTCCATATTGTTTGAAAACAAATATGGGCACATGAATTTACCGAAAGGTCCAAAACCTGAACCTTTACGTTAAATTTAGATGCTCCCGTGGGAAGATATGGTGGTATATTTTTCTAATTAAATTCCTACGCCACTGGCTTATTATTTTTGGGTTCGTCTTTCAATTTTCATCTAATTGCTACTTTTGAATGTTCTTCACTCTTCAAGTTAAAAAACGATCTGAATGTTAGAATAAAGCAGTAGCGTGCGGTTCTATTTCGAAGAACAATCCATCAAAATTCGTCCGGTTGTATGAAGATTGACTCCATGTATCTTTTAAGTGTCCTAGATACAAAAAACTTTGGAAAAAACACGCTCCATAAAATTCCCGTGGTGTAATTTTCGGTAAACCTGTATAAAATATTTGGAGGACTTTATTAGTCCTAACAACACCTTAATTTCATTTACGGTATCAAATAGTATATACCAATTAGCAAATACATATAAAACGAGCAAACACATTGTCTATTTTTACGGACGTAATTAAATGTTTAAACAGTTCGGATGAGGCATTGGATAAATGCCAAAATAAACAACCTTATCAATGTGCAACAATTAATAACGCAAACTTTGGCTTTATTACCGTCATATACGGTAGCCTCTCCGTCCATACAGAATTTCTTAAACTAATGGCGATGGATTCGAAGCAGTGCGCTTTCATCGATTTTCAAAAGCGGTCTGCCCTCCTAGTTTCCCGCGCGTGCTCCATTCAATGGCGTGTTGTTCATTGTCTCTCGCGAAGATCCATCTGAAAATATCCCCTTCGATAATTAATATAGTTTCGCCATTGAAACTAATCCCGGGTTTAATATAAATCCAAATGATTCTTCAACGAAAATCGACCTGGTGCTGAACGGCAGTAAATGTGCACTCGTTGTTTAACGTTTAAAAATGTTGACGGAAGCCGATCAGCTGTTTTGGGGGTGTTTAATATTGCCCCCGGCGACTTGCAAAACGCTATCTAAAGTCGGGATTATTAAATGGCGTTTAAAGTGATCTCTTTGAGGTAAGTCGGTGTCGTATCCAATTATTTAGTTTTATAAAAATAATTTAAATTAGTTCTTGAGAAGAACAGATATATAATATGCGCCACCGAAAAATTTTATTACTTATATTTCATTTTAATTCACAAATTAAAAAAAAATCAAAAAATTTTTCCCTCGACAAATACCTTCGTACATTTCTTCAACAAGTTCATGCTGGCGGTCTAACGCAATTAAAGCTTTAAATAACACCAGTGAATTCATGCAAGAAATAAAGAGAGGCGGAGTAAAATCACTACTACGTATTGTCACTATCGTGAAGTAAACTTTGTTAATCGCACACACTCAGTTAGTGACCCTGCACGTCGTGGAAAAAGGAATACAAAGTAAGCAGCATGTTTCCTCCTAAAAAGATCAAAGACGGAGAAAAAATGATTGCTGAACCTTTTGCTGCAATTGATAAGACCGCCGATCATAAACTAATAATAAAACCAAAAATTAAGAAAAAATATAATGAGATTTTTATGTCACACAATATAAATCAGAATGAAGGTCCCATTGACGAATTTTTTACCCCAATTTTATTATTTTAGTATTTGAAAACTTTTAATTCATTATCCCCATGAGAATACACAATGTTTGGTTAGTTATTCTCATCTAGTTTAACAATTGACTGCTCACAATCAAAAAAATTAAATATGTAATGTATAGGTTAGCCTACAGAAAATGCTTATGTGAAAATATATTTTTTTAGTCAGGAAAATACATATTGCTAGCTACAGGGATTTCTTCTACGTAAATTATTCTAGGTATTTAATTAGTGATGGGTGATGAGTTATTTCAATTTTTTACGTTTTTCAATTTCAAATGTGTCGCAATTTTCTTTAGATTTTCTTCCTAAGAAGGGTTTAATTAAGGGCCATGTTAAACATGTTCAAAGAACTAATTCATTAACAACCAATAGCAATCAAAAGCACTTCATAACAGATACAGATTTCCGGAAATGAAAATGTACGTTTATAAATGGTTACTGCGGTATGTGTGCTGCATTTTCAGACTAGCGATGGACAGTTATAACTTATCACAGATTTTTAAAGAAAACCGAGAAAAACTTTCAAACCCACCGAAACTTATACAATGCACAACTCAAGAACGTGTAAAAAATTTAGCATATATTATAAAAATTAGATTATTGAGGATACCGCTAAGTATAAATTATTGTTTCCAAGTTGCAAATTCTTTAAAATTCAACTTTCTCTATGCACCCGTAGAAATAATTATTTGTTATTTGTTTATTATTGAGCGATTCCCCTCGTATGAAAAAACCTTGTTATATTTTGAGTTAATGGTCTGGAAAAACAAAATTACTTACATTGCACTCTGTAAATTTATCGATTGTGGCAACTGCATTTAATGAACTTTGCCTGTCGTCGTCGTCGTCGACAACGACGACATTAACAAACAGAAATAATGATGCCTGCTTTACGAACGCAACCATAACCATATTCGCTCGGTGCATTCTAGCTCCATTTTATTATGAATTTGCGAGTCAATCGTTTCATATATAATTTCGAAGGTATGTCAATCATGATCTTAAAGGGAAACACTTAGATGCACATGTAGTCAGCGTAACCATCTCTAGGATTTATATGTTAGTGCTGTTTGGTTAGTTCGGTTAGTTTTATTGATAAAGAAATTATGTTTTATGTGTTATAACGATTCTTTGCAAATATATGCGAAAACACTAATTACTTTACATTTTACTAGTTTTGATTTTTTTCTTCAATGGTGAAATTATAAAAACCAATATTAACAATTTATAAAGGTTCCTCTGTAATAATGAACATTCGTCTCAACCTACATGAACATAAAACATAATATAACACGAGTGTAATGCAACTGCAGGAAAGAGCAGTAAATAGCATGTTCAGCATCTTTACCGCATTTTGTAAATGTTTCTTAAAATGTTGAATGTTCTTATTTTCATTTTTACGGGAATACAACAAGAAATACTTAAAAATTACTCATTGAGCTACAGTTTTAGGAATTTTTCGTTTTTACTTTATAGTATTCATGAAACTGTCCTTATTTAAATGATAATGTTATGTATGTTGAAACTAAAAACATATTTAACAACTTAAGCCGGCAAATACTCCTAATTTACGAACCACTAATAAAGATCAGATGAACAGCTTACACTAGTATATAAGTGCAGTAGTTTAGTTTACACTTGATAAGACAGCGATCCATCTATCGTCTGGAACCTTTTAGTAATCACGCCAAATAAAAACAGTTTGAAGTTCTTTTAGAGTTCTTTAATTTCACCATTGAAGAAATCATTTTATCCATATTACAAATTTTGATTGTAGAGGGTGGATCACATTTCTAACTATTTGCGGCAATTATTTGAAATGGGCAACAAAAAAAGTCCGGAACTAGAAATTTTTAGACGCGTCAAGTGGTATGAATTCGGTCAAGGACCATATAAAAGCGTTACTTAGCGATAATCAGAAAAAGTGTGATTAATCGAACATCAAAAAGTCCAAAGAGTCGGACGTCGAGATCAGTTATATTACCTCGGGTCTTACTCGCCCTTCTATATCCTATTTTCCTTCCCTTGCAAATCCTATTTTTGTCCAAAGCGGGTAAGACAAAGAAAAAGTTTTCTTTACAAAAATAGTTTCTCCAACTGAATTAAAAGAAGAAACACTAATGTACAAATTATTTCACAGGTTAAACTAGAACCTAGCGTTACGGTGGCATTGTCCAAAACCTACTTGTTCAAAGTTGAAAACTTCTTTTTTTCCAAGAAAACTAGAGCAATATATCAAGTACATGATGCCCTTATAAAAAAACACTATTTCTTGATTGATGAAAATATTATTCTGAAATCATTTTCCAATTTTGCATAAAAACTTGCTTTGGAATAGTTTTCATAGAAACATAAATTTTTCCAAAAAAGTTACAGACTTTTTTAAAATGCAGATGTGCTTATTTTACTGTTAAGTGTCTTATGAAAATTGAGCTCCAGAAACCGATATTAGTCTTTGTCCATCTCTTATTAGTTCTTACATTAGTTCATATTTTTTTCTTTTTAGGCGTATAAACAGAGCCGTTTTTACAGTTTTCTTAAAAGGTTAAATAATAATTGGTAGGCTTATGTTTGATAATTTGGGTATTTTAAATTTATAGAAGTGCCAAACAATCAATTTGTAAGTTCATAAGATCCGTTCCCTGCAATAATACAACAATAGAAATAAAAATCCTTGAAAATATTTTCCCGTTCCAGATAACGAAAAATGGGTTCAAGCAGCGGTGGGAAAAAGAAGTTCGTTAACTTTAGGAACAGGCAGAGGGCGAATTTGAGTTTTTTTATCGTCGTTATGTTTTTCGGAGTGTTTGGAATTATCGTCTTTACGGAAATATTTTTCATTGACGAACGAGATAGGGCGTCGGGCGTTATAGTCAGACACGGAGCCATTTCTTATCACGGAAAAACGCCACAGAAAATCGACTACGAGGAGGGATTTCAGGTAAGAATATTCTAAGAGAGCGCGAACTATGAGGCTACATAATTTTCCCTGCATCAGTACACATCTTAATAGCAGGTATCTAACGGAAATAAGAAACACATTTTTTTTCAATTAATTGGGACGGTCTAACGACACACAACTAATGAAGGTGTTGTTTTTGATGATAAATGATTTAAATATTTAAAAAGCTAGTGGAGTAATTTGAAAACAAATATGTATCTATCTACTAATCTACGAAACCGCCAAGGTCGACATTGTTAAAATTTAAATAGTAAGTAATTTTTATTTTATGGGAGAATATTGCATTATTCTTATATGTGTGCCTTGCTTTACGATGTACTTCGAGAATTTTCCAAAATAATTGCGAATTGCGAATCGCCGTAAATAATTGATTACCAATTGAACCGAACACGTTTTTTTTTATTTGAAAATGGGAATTATAATTATATAGTTCTCATTTCGCGCGATCTTTTAAAAGTTTGAGCAAAACGTTTAAAAATTTTAACAAAACTTGGGGGACTGAAAAGGAAATAAAAGGTGCCTAATTGAAATCGAATGAAAGGTAAACAGGATAATAGTAAATGCTGAAAAACTCTATTTCTACGGTGTGTCCCACTTAAAAAACGTACGTACACCCTTGTTTATGGTTCGATTTTGATTTTTTTTTTGTTGTATCGGTCTCTGAAACATGTACTAAAACCTTGTTTTGCTTATTGCTTCAACTTAGTTGACTAACTGAGACTGTTTAACAAAAGGGAGAGAAGAGAGATCTACTATTAGGGACTTTTTTTTAATGGATTCAGGTTTACTTAGAACCCAACTATACCAATTTTGTATAATGTTTCAATAGAGAGTGTTTGAAATATCGTTTGTGCCCCGGTTAAGCCATCGTTTTAAATTTTTTTATTACGGTTTAGTTGTGATCATTTTTTTTTGTTTTATAGATCGTGACTAACTGGGACAAATTGTTGATGTCGAATATCGAGAAGTGCTATTAGGGAATACTTTAAGAATAAAGTGTAAGAATTCTTATTCAGAACTACATAAAACCTAACTGTACTAATTTCCATTTCCAAAATATCTCGCCTCGCTGAACCATTACGCCTGTAGAATGTTTATGGCTTAATTTTGATAATTCTTTTTTGCTAGATAGATCTTACTAAAGAGAAATGAAACGGTTTTTTCGTATAGCATCGACTAAAATCATAGCTAACTTGAAAATGATAACAATGTTTTAAAAAAAACTTTGTAAACCTTGAAAATAACGATTAGTTTGTGTGATTTTAAGATCTTACAAATTTTAAAAATATCGATTAAAAAGATTTTTAAGAGACGCTAAAACAACAGCATTAATAAATCTTAGTATTCGAAACATGTAAACAACATTAAAATATAAATTAGCGAGTGAAATTGACTGTCGAATATTGGCTTCTCAGTTTGACGACGTCGATCAGTTTTGATATTTTTGTTTTCATTATTTGATGAGAATTAAAAATTCTTTTTAATTAAAAAAATACAGCGTTGTAAAGTATGTTTAGGCCATGCCTATCATATCAAATTTTAAAAAAATCGTTAGTATTTTTCAGTGAAATCTATCCAACAAAAAAGTATTTTCAAAATTGAGCCATAAACAAACATTCTGCAGGAGTAATGTAGTTTTATGTAGTCCCATAAATATTTCGTGCGTTTTTGAGAGATCTATCCAACAAAAAAATATATCAAAATCAAACCGTAATCAAAGATTTTACAACGATTTACATCCTTAACCGGGACGCAAACGATATTTCAAACACCAACTATTGCAACAATATAATTGGTATAGTGGCGTTCTAAGTACTCCCGAATAAGAATTCGTTGCCAATTAAATAGTCTCAGTTGACCAGGACTTCATGTTGAAGCGATAAGCAAAACAAGGTTTTAGTGCATTTTTCGGAGACCTAAGCTTGTACAGTTCTTAAGTGGAACATACTGTCGATATCACTGCTTAATCCAGTTAAATCGCATCAGCCACTCAACGTTTTCTAAAAGTAATATGGAACAATATTTTACAGTAAATTACCTCGGCATACAAAGAAACTGAAAATTTAAGAATATAAGATGGTTTTATTATAACATGATACACTGCATTAAATAATAAATCCTTTATTATTAGCCTAAAGGCTAGGAAATATACAAAAAATACAAAATGAGAAACACAGCCGAATTTTTTTTTAGATCTAAATAACCATACTTTGTTTAACATATTCTATACACGATTTCTTGAAACTAGGTGAAAATTTTACATTTTACAAATTTTTTTTTAGATCTAAATAACTATACTTTGTTTAACATATTCTATACACGATTTCTTGAAACTAGGTGAAAATTTTACATTGTCAGGCAAATCGTTATACTATTTCAAAACTTTTAACAAACGAGCTATTCTGACTCACCTACTAATAACTCTATTTAAATATCATTTATTTAGCATTTTATAAATTTCACAACCTGGTTGATGCTCAGAAGACTAGTAAGACCAGTAAACATGTCTGTTTTAATAGATTTGTATTGTACTTATTGAAAATTTCCAACTTTCTGGCTCTCTATGCTCTATTTCTTAATGCGAGGGAATTAGAAATCATTACTGAACTATAATGTTTATGTTTATTGTTTCAAATTAGAATTATGGTTACTTAGTTACTATTATTAAAATAATTATTATCTCAATTTTCTGTCAATCTCTATTATAATGAGGCATAATAATTATGTAACGTAATATTACTTTCATTCTGCATACTCGTCTTACGTACAAATTAGTGTGTCCCTAATTTATGAACTAGTCCGGTGTATAGATCTTAAAATCTGAAATACTACTATCATTGCAATTCTTCTGAACTTTACGATGTAACGTTAAAGTTATCCACACTGTTTAATGATCCCTGTCAATATAAATTTATAATTTAGTACTCCCTCGTATTAAAAGGCCGAGCATAATGCAAAATCGTTAATTCTAAGCTCTGAGATCTTTTTTGCTGCTATCTGCATTTCTGAAGTTGATCTCTACAGTTACTGCAATAATGTTTATCGATGGGTGTGTTTATTATACATGCCTCTACAATATTTTATTGTTATTTCTATTGTGTGTGTGCAGTGTTTATTGTACTGCATTTTATTTGACACAGCCTAAATATTATTGTGCATAGTGAATCAAGGTTTACTCTATCCTATCCTATTCTACGCCGCCACGTTAAGTAAAAAACTTTCGCACTATTCAATCGGACTTCATGTAGGATATTTAGAGATTGTTCCTTTCCGATTTAACCAGAAAATATCCAATTAAAATCGTTAAAATTTTGAGCAGAACGATGACTACATTTCCGTTCGCGCCGGTCAGGCGATGATGAACGATGGCGGGTTCGGTGCATTTCTCGTCGGGGGAAGACGTTCCGGCCATTTTCCCAATCTCGAGAATGCCCAACCGGCATTCTCCAAGGTAAAGCTTCCGGGCCTGCCAGCTATAGAAGATTTTTTTCATTGCCCTTGCTGTTTGCTTGTAACAGACTTGACAGTGAACTTAATTTTATATTCATGACCATCGTTGTATATTATACTAAACCAGCGTCATTGATCGTGTACAAATACTATCCCATTAGCTCCAGTTTGTGGCATGTTCTGCTTAGCATAAGCTAAATCTCACTGATTTCCGGTGTTTTCTATTGGCACAAAGTATAGTTTTTGCATCATGGTTTAATTTTCCAGAATCCAAGATCGTGTACTATTTTATCCAATTTTACACTATTATAGCAAGACTGAAGTATAAGCATGGAATGCGTGAGCGCTTTCAAAACTAAAGTGTGTTTATTTCCTAGACTTCATGTACCTATACTTAATAAAGATATGCCTCTAATTTTAAAGATTAAAGAAGAAATGGTGTGTATTTTATATGTAGTGTCACTCAGGTGAACAAGAATTCAACTATTTTCCATATATGTAAAACTAACAACTATCGCTTTATTGTTACAGAACATTTTTTAATTTAAGGACCTTACACTTAAAAAAAATGTTTTTAGTTTTTGACCTCCCTTGAGTTCCATACAATAAAAGAATAAATTGATATCTTATAAGATAAGAAATGTTTTCAATTATTTAGTTATCATTTGTAGAAAGCAGGTTTCAATCTGATTTTGCTGACTAAAATTAACGAATAATTCAGAAATTAAATATTTCAAAACGAAAACAAACAGCCTGTGTGTATAATTGAGAGTTCTTCCGAAATCGAGCGAAAATTTTGTAAAATCGTGATTATTATCACTTACCACACCACTACAAACTACATTTTACAAACAATGTATATCAAATTTAGAATCAACATGCCGCCCTGATTGAAAACAGCCTGGCTGATGAGATAAGTAAGTTTTAGAAAGTATCAAATTAATAAACAAAAATGTAAACGTTTTTGAAAGTCAAATGATCTAAAATCAGAAATAATGTTGTATAAGAAAAATAGTTGATTTCTTGAATCATAAGAACCTACCCAAATACTTATTATGAAACAAACAATACTAGTAATGCTATACCTAGGCGCTTATACAGAACTGTTTTGCCTGAACTACTAACTTTGTTAAATTTTATAGTTATATTATATATATATTATTATTATTACTATTACTATATTATATTTATTTATAGTTATATGGAAATAAACAACAAAATTGGCACTGGGTTTCTAAAAGTGTATTCAATATTCGGAAAAATGACTTCGAAAATTGCGTTTTCAGCGTTACAGCGACTTGCCTTTTAGTTTCTGAAGTGCTAGTTGTTTTTATTTAGTTGAATTCAATGCCATTATAACCTACGATAAGAAAGGTAGTCAAGCCGATTTGTTAGCTATTAAATGTATATTTTTGGCAACAGCGATGTTGTAAATTCCAATATTTTGTATTGCAGCTGATTTCAGACATGCAATTACCGTCGTACCCAGACAACTCCACGATGTCGGAAGGTTCGTGGCAAACTGTTAACGGAACCCGGTTGGTTTACTTGAATGGTGCCCTCATCATCGTTATCGGGTTTTTTTTTCGTTGTAGCTACAAATTTTTCGTGTTTTCGGCCTACTATGACCCCAGGAGGACGCAAAGGTTCATCCGCGTAATAGGAGCCACAAAAACAAGAGGTCCTGAGGGCGTCTGGTGTAGGTACAGGTACAAGGCCGAAGGAAATGCTACAGCAAATTTCTCCAAGATCGTACCGGCTAAGATAAAAGTAAGGCTTTGGTCTAGAAGTTTACCGTCGACTCATTAACAAAACCAGAAGATATTTTCCAAATTACATTTACTACTGAACAGATTCCAATTGGCTATGTTCTTAACACAATATTAACATTTTATTTGACGGCTTCCAGATAAAAAAACAAATCCAGGAATCACAAACTTACTAAAGCTCAGAAAGTACTACACCAGAGAAGTTGCCAGTTTTTATATGGTTTCGTTGATCAAATAAGGTTATTTTCTGAAATTTCGTTTTTATTTTAAAATGAGAACTAAACAAGAACAGATACTTACTTTTTACAAAACTTCTGTATTGCTCCTGCGTCTGTTTCTGCTGAGTCGAACTTGCTGACGTTTCGCCAATCATCCTGTTGGCTTCTTCAGAGCTTGACTGAAACTGGCTCGTATTTTACTCTGTACCTGCTTATATATTGTTTGAGGGGGGCGGAGAACAGAATGATTGGTGAAACGTCAGCAAGTTCGACTCAGTACAAACAGACGCAGGACGAATCCAGAAGTGTTGTAAAAAGTGTTACAGTAGCTTGTGGAAGTTTCTTTGAAAAAAGAACAGATGCCAACGGCATGCAGAAGGTGGATTATGATACTAGAGTACGGAAAAAAATTACTAATAAAATAATATTACTGATGCTTTTAGGTGAAAACACTAAACAAAAATGTAAAATTCATTTCTTTTTTATTAAATACCTTTGAATGTCAAAATCAAATTCAAACTTTAATTACATCTTAATCTTAATTAATTTTTTCTCGTTGCCTTATATTCACACCCTGTATAACTAGAAGGGCTTAAAATAAATAAAAAAAAAAACGACAACACTGATGTCGAGAAATATCGAAATTATACTACTCAAAATTAAGCAAATTCTTAAGTATTCATCGGCCGATCAGTTTATCTGAAGCACTCAGTTAGACTTGGAGAGGAAACGCTTCCTAATTCGTCAATAGGTCGTTCAAAAATATCCTTTGGAGGAGTGCAAAAGTTGTGTATTCCTAAATAATAGTTTCTATATGTCAACGAATAAGATCCATTATGGACCGATATGCACCGATTTAGACCATGTCTTAACTTTTAACAATAATTATCTCTATTTTATTTCACAAAAATAGGTGATCAGAGAAAACTGGAATCTTATGTACAGTGCGTGTTTCATCATGTGTCCTCTGCAAAACCTCAGTGTACCGTTAAGCGTCAGCATCGTTGCCAGACTAAAGGACCCCCCATCTAACATGATTACCGTCATAAACAATTACAACGAGACGTGGAAATCTGTGGGCCTCGACAAGCGTAATTGGAAATTTGCGGTTTGCGTCAAGCCGTTGCATTTTAATTACAACAAGGTATTATAGACTTCTGAATTTATTGTTCCTCAAATTAAATAAGTAAAAACAGACTATGCATTTTGTCTGTGGTATAAATTTGTGTTTCGTTGGAATTTTTCAATTCTACACAAGCATACACTCGGCTGATAAAAGTTAAAACTTGGTTAGTTTGGTTTCAAACATTTCAAACACCAATAAATTGGATCTAAACTGGAACCAAATAGCCCGGTAGAAAAGCGAGGCAAATCGTGCTATTAGAAGGGGCCCCTAGTATTAGGGATTGTTGTCTTTCTCTTGGTCACTTAGATAAGTGGAAGAATCGAATATTCCACCTTTATTTACTGATATAACCTTAATGAAATCACTTGGATATTATTATTTATTGATCAAACAATATATTCTTTAAATAGTTGTAAAAGTTTTAGATTATAATAATCTAAAATAAACTAAATTAAATTTAGAAAAATGGTCGTAGCAATATGTATTTTGCAATATGTAAAGTTAAAATACACATGTATATTTCTGGACATAATGTACAAGGTCGCTCAATGAAATCGTGGCTCGAATTTTCTAAAAATTCACTGAAATGAAAATTTAAATACTTACTTGCTACACTGAATAGAGATTTCCAATGCAACTTTTTGTCAAAAGTTCGTATACAGGATATTCCGTTTACATGGAGCTGTTATAAAATTTAAATGTTCCCATGAACACATTATATTTTGCCTTAATGGTTATGATAATTGGCCATTTTCATTTCGGTGAGTTTTTCATAAAAGTTGAGCTCCGGAAACGAAAATTTTCTATACCTTCAGATAAGATATGTTCCCATAGGAAACCAACTTTTTTGGCCCAATCTGGACTTTCAACCAAAATTTTTATTCCTTGAAAAAAAAACCTTTGAATTTTAAATATTTTAAAAATTGTAAATTCAAAAATATCGATTTATTTATTTATTTAATTATTTCCAAACAATAAGCGGAAATATACATTATTACGTCCTACAAATTATAAAATCAAATTATCAACTTTTGTTATTACAGAGAAATATTTTATTTATATAATCACATTCTAAATATTTTATTTATGTAAAATCTCTTTGAGTTATTATTTATATATAAAACAAAATTGCAGAAGCCGAAAAATAAATCAGGAACAACTATGAGTTCTCCATTATCATGAGTCATCGCGAATATATTTATGGAAGCCTTCGAGAAGAAAGCTCTCTATAACTTTCATCTAATACCAGCCAGAGTCACTGAATCCAGAATTAAAACACCTCACCTCTGCTTTTCTCTCTGATCATTTCCACATGAAAGATATTAAGCGTTCCATCACAAAATACACTTCACCACAATCTTTCAATAGCAATGAGTCCTAAAGAAATCCCACACTCGCCACTGTTGCCCTTCCTTACATTGAAAGCAGCACTGACCACATATTAAAAGTTTTTAAGAAATATAACGTCAAGACCAGATTGATCACTTGTCCAAAAATGTATCTCTCAACATCTTCGGTCCGTCAAAGACAAAATTCCATTTGAGATGCCAGGAGTTAACAGCATTCCATACATACGCGGCACAGAATACATTGCACAGACCGGACGAAAAATATCAACTAGGCTCAAAGAACATGAAAGAGAATCAAGACTAAGACAAATCAACTCATCAGCTGTTGCCGAACACAATCACGAAACCGAAGACTTTTATTCGACACAACTAAAATTCTTGCATGTAATCAATTCTTCTACCAACGAGAATCTATAGGAATCGATAAGCATCCAAACAATTTCAACAACTACTGATGCACGATGAATCCAAAAGTTTTGTAAAGAGTATGAAATCATTTTCATGAAAAGATTGAAATGATTTCACAAATTACCCTCAAAACACTCTCAAGCAGATACTCGTCTAATATTAAATAGATGACCATTTCAGTTTAGATCTAGCTCACTGTTTAAAACACAAAACTGCGAAATAAGATAATATTAGTGTCTGATATTCTACAAACAAGCTTCTGAAGTTCAATAAATAACATTTTCACAATTAGATTGAACTTTTTTGATAACTGCCGGCTAATCAATGTTGAGCATATCCTAATATTATAAAAAAAACACTGAAAAACACTGTGATGTCCAATTTACCTATAACCCTCTTCAAGGAATATCTGAATACGATACTTAGCGTTTCGTTGAATAGCAATAATAATATGTACACAATTTAGTTCCCAGAACGACGTGGCGACGACGTAACGCCCAGTATAAATAAATAAATATAATTTTCATGGAATTTTTTAAATTAGTAGTAGTAGTAAAAGTAGCTATTCTCGAATTCGTTAATATTAGGTGTTAGGGTTATGTATTGATCAGTTTTGACCTTCCAGAAATGCGCTCGTATTAGTCAGACCGACACTCAAGCATTGAACAGTCCTTTTCACCTTAGCAAGGACGCTAATGCCGACATTTCACATATCTCAATCTTCGTTAATAGCAACGGTACTATGAACCATTTTGTACTGAAAGTCAACTATTGGAATAGTTTAACCAAATAAAATTGTGTCGATTGTGTCTCTTGTTGATCATATTTTAATTCCTCTTTCTCATCAAATTTATTTCACTTACATTATATAACATTGCTATAAATAATGTTATATGCTAGAGGTTTGATGTAGATTACAAATTAATTAATAGGTGGTATGTTCGTTTTTTTGTATAAATATTTGTTCACACTGTTTCGCAGGACATTCAACTGCTGGAGTTTATAGAACTGAACCTACTGATGGGAATAGAACATTTCATACTGTACAATCATACCGTTGGTCCCCAAGTAGATTGCCTACTCAGGGATTACATCGCGCGTGGAGTTGTGACAGTTTTGCCGTGGAATTTAAAGATCGAGTCCCAGAAGGAAATACGCACGGAAGGCCTGTTCGCAGCCCTTAACGACTGCCTTTATAGGACGATGTACAAGTTCACGCACGCGCTTTTGATAGATTTCGACGAATATGTCATTCCTAAACACAACGACACCCTACCGCAACTAATCGAGTAAGTTTTTTCCACAAACAAAACTGTAACAGCGAAAGAGACGAAGTGAAAAAAAAATCCGACAGAACAATTTTAATTTTAACATTGATTTGTTTTACCCTCATTAGGAATAATAGTGAACAAAGTTTACGTGAATATATTATAATTGGTACTACTGTAGAATATAAAAACTTGAATATTAGCTCGGATAATAAACTTAGATTTCGTACATAAATGTTTCCAAAATTCTCCGAAAAGTTCATATTAATCTCCGCAACATCTATAAAACCTGAATCTTAAGTTAAAATAGACTCCCTTTTAACTGACAGGATGAAATACGCAAAATTAATAAGACCATGACTAAAAGCTGCTTCTCCAATAAAATAATGTATTATATTATGTATATTGACTCATTTTCTAAATAGTTCTATAGTGCTGTTAAAACTATCAACAACCAAGGTCTTTGGAACCTAACCTACCCTTTATCTGCCATTATTAATATGTCGTCGTTGCTTCTACTAAACCTCTTTGTATGAAATAAAGAATTTTAAGATTATATTTCTATATTTATATATATTATTATATAATATATTAATGCCTTTCTTTAATATTAGCATAATCAGGAGTATGTATGCTGTAAACGGGAGGCACTTGTATAGAACTTGTTTTGACAAAAAAGCGAATATCATATACCTCAACATAACAAAGTTGAAAGATTCATTCGTTATTTGCAGTTACCTGGGTCATCGACTTAATACCGCATCGACCGGCTCTTTTTCATTCCAAAACGCATTTTTCTACCTGCAGTGGAGCGACGACGACGACGTGTACGATTTCACCGACCCCATTTCGCCCAATCTGGTGACACTGAAGAAGACCCGCAGGAAAACGAAACTTCACCCACACAAGCAACGTTCCAAATATATATGCCGCCCGGAACTGACCGTGGAAGCGGGCAATCATTTTATTTGGGAATTTATACCGGGGCATGGTAAGTTCGGGGGAGGGGAATCGGGGGGCCTAAAAAAAATAACGAATGGTGCGTTTATTATATTATGTTATTACGTATATTGGATGTTTGTATTTTCGTGGACAAGTAACAACTTTATTGTTTTTAAGAACACGTATATTAAACCATTTTTGAATTGCTCTCAAAATTCTAAACATATGAATTATCTATATCATATACCTAAGTCTTACCGTTTCTGACATACTTCGAACCTTATGTCAAAAGTGACATTCGACTTTTCCGACTTTGTTGAATTTATTATATATTATTTAAAATCTAAAATTAAAAACATAAATGAAAAAAGCCTTTAGTCACATTTTCAAATAGAAACCCCAGACACGGCATGATTTTTTCGGAGACACGAAAGTGCATAACACTATTACTACGTTTCGGTTGTCAATTATTTGTTACCATCAAGAATTTTAATTGCAGTTTTTTACTCATCGTGTTTCAAAAAATTCCCAAAAACCTTTAAAATGACCTTCGGCTTTGATGTTAGACATTTTTGACAAAATATTGACTATGATCTCTCATAATGAATACATGAAAGTTTCAACTTCAAAAGTTATGTATGTATCAAAAAGTTATTCATTTAATTGTACCTAATTTCTACCTACTGATTACAGGCATTTAGTCACAAGATATTTCTTTAACATTTTTTTAAATGCACATAAATTATCACAGTGAAAATTACTGTTCAACACAAAACCTGATATATTTTCAAACTTATAAACACATATTTCAAATACTATACAATGTTAAAATATTTTTTTTCAAGAAGTAGATTTGGAAATACCATACATCTGATGGCCCTTTTTTGAACCACGAATACATTTGTCGAATCAGTCGACCATCCCCACAAAATTATACCATACCTAAGCCTACTCTCAACATGAGCGTAATAAACACTTAATATTTGTGATTCTGTTAAAAGATCCTTCAGGTTATGTATTAAATAGATGTTGGCCCCCAACCCCGATACCAAAGAAGAGCAATTAATTTTGAAATTCATGTTTTTATCTATGAATATTCCAAGGAAATTTACATCTTTACCGATCGCAAACCTTCAGTATTTATGTGAAGCGAAAGGTCTCTACATAACTTTTGACTATGATGGAATCTTTTAAAAGATATTTTTAGTTTATTAAGGTATAAGTTAATATCATCAAACCAAGAGTTCACCTAACTCAAAACCACGTTACATTTGTCTCCCTGATTCACACCTATCCATCATAGATATTGTAAGGTTATCAGCAAACTTTTTAAATGCTCTCTAAACCGTCAATGTGCAAGAGGAAAAGTATCAGTCCTAATATAGAGCCTTGAGGGACGCCCATTGTTATATCAGCGCATACACACCATCTGTTTTATATATTAGGCTAATATATTGTTACCTATAAGATAAAAAGGACTCCGCAAATTTCAATGAAGGACCGCTTATACCTTTGCAAGACACCTTCCATAACATTAAGTCGCGATCTACACCATCGAATGCCCTGCTGAGATCACAGAATACTCACCGGAATCTATAGAATTAACAATACCCTCCAAGAATAAAGTAACTTCTTGTATGGAGGATTTCCTACTTCGAAAACCGAACTGGTTATCGAAAAATATTTAAGATACAATAAAAGTTGTTGCAAATATGCATACCGAAACGCCTTTGAGAAAACCATGGTGACTGTAACTGGTCTGTAATTATTAATATTTGTTTTACTACCTTTTGTATGTAATGGAATAATCTTTTTCTACTCCCGTCTGTAAAATACATGGTTACACACCGATCTAGCGTGCCTTCTAAATGAAGCCTATTTAAAACGTAGGCCAAAATTGCATTCTTGTAGTGAGTTTTCTCCGCACCAAACATCAAACATATCTCTTTTCAGAATTGACATGGTTACTGAAAAAAATAATTTCTTTACATTTAGGCATTTCTTGGCACCTAAATTTATTATTCATAAAAACACTATATCAATTTGTTTTTTATATAAAACGAGTAACTAAGAGTTTTTTGAGTCGTTTACACATATGAGAAATTAATGAAAATAAATATGAAAAGTTTACTCACCTAAGCCTTTCACAGGGTGAAATCGCAATTTTACACTTCGGTCCACAAACGCCATAATAAACAATTGATCCCACTTTTAGCAAAGACATTCCACTCTATAGAATGGTATCTTTCAGATAAAATCGAAAACATACGTTTCCGGTAATATTTTTTTTACGAATTATTAATTCCTAAATAAATAAAAATGATCTCTGTGCGTCAGTTTCGTTTCCCAAAGATCCGAGCCACTTCGGACATTTCCGGGATTTTACCGCACGGGTTTGGGAGCAATCGGATGTTTTCGGAGATATTTCCCACGCCTTGAATTTTAACGTTTATCAATTTTGACGGTCATGTCAGTGAATGTATTCGTGTTGTTTTGCGAAAATGTACCCCAAAAACTAACGGTCGTAGAAAAAGTATAGTATGCAACAAGTTCGGTAAACTTTTTAAGTCACTCGTTTATTAAACATTCGCTCCGCTGCATTCCGCTCGTGTCAAATAAACTCCTGAGGCAAATGCCGTTTACCGTACTTGTTGCATAATATGCAATGCAATTTTTTGGCTTAAATGAAATGATAGAGGGTTAGTATCTATTCTCGGTGTCGTCGGTCAGTGCCTGTATTTCTAATCCCTATGATTCCTTGCATCTTTCAATTTTAAAATTGTTATGGCCTTTCAGTTCTCAATTCTAACCCCGCACCTGACACCAAATGAACGATATTGTTTTCAGGTACACTGAACGTACCAGCAGACGCGGCCATACTGCACCATTATCGGATTTGCGAGTTTGGTGGCGACGACTGCATCAAAACTCAATCGACATTAGATAAGACTGCATATCGATATCGAGAACGTTTAACCGGTACTGTGAGAGAACGTTACGATGCGTTGAAAACGAAATGCGTTCTGCCGCAGCCCCAGGCACCCCAAGCGAGGGTCTTCCACAAAATACTAAACATGTTGAAAGGCCAAAAGAGGAGATAATAAGCTTGAATTTGACAAGAGAGTTATTACAGAGGGTTTCGTGATATGACGTGACTGTAAGTTTTTGCCATGAAACTACCATGTTTCAAATTGTACTAGGTAGAGTAGTACCTCATAAGATTAGTTTTAGGGATTAGGCTCAATGTGCAGTTTATTATATTGTTTTTTCGTATTTCCAAAAAAATATGTTAGTACATAATTTTGAACGTGCTCGGTATCTACTTTGTGTAAGATATAGTCAATAATTAAAAGTTAAAGAATATATTTTTTCTAATTCTGTGCTTAACATGCGTTTTGTGTTCGATTGGAAAAAACAAATGGACACAGGTCTTAAAAAATTTAAAACCACATAATTTTTTATTTTGAGAAGACATTGATGCTTAATTTTTAGGAAATTTTATGAAGACTCATGAGGCTGTGATCAACAGAAACAAAGTGGGTTGGCTGGCTAACGAAACCCTAATATTGAAGTGTGGTTATGTCAACAGTATTAGAAAAGAATTGTATATTTTTGTAAATATGTGGTAAACATCATATAGATCTGTAAGTTCAAGAATATTTTTACCAGAGGGGAAATTAGTTGAACTTGTGTCACGTAAGACCAGGTTTGTTGTCCTATTGAGTTCAAGTAGGAATTGCCAAATCGTCGTTAACATATTAAACAGCATATTGCATAAACTGTTAACTCCAAAAAAGTTGATAAGTAATAATAAATCTTGTCGTTTTTTATGAGACAGAAACTCAAAGAATTGATCTTAAATTAGAATATAGAGATTATACAGTATCTCAGAAAGCTTCTTATCTATTTTTAAAAATATTTTTTTAAGATATTTCGAAAAAAAAATGTTACTTCTGAACTTGTGCTCCAGATATATAAGTAGCAATAACAATAGTTCGTGAATCGTTAGCGAAACCATTATTATCGAGTGGATCATATCATCTGATTTAAAAGCTTTTCAATAGTTAATGAGATAATTGCTTTTACGTTAAGGACGTTGCGCTTTCCTACAATCGTTTGACATTTAAGTCTGTATTGGTTGAGTTGCTCAATTCAAATAGTGGCGAGGTTTAGAGAACATTTCGATCAAAGCATAGCGATTTTCAGGCTTTTTGTCTGTATATAGATTCTGTAATGCGTAAGCACAAATATCTATAGAAATAATTTTTTAACTTGTATAAGTACATTTTCTACAAAGGTCGCCCCTAAATGTTAAGAGAATATTTTGACAAAGGAATCTCCGAACGAACACTGCAATAAATTTAAATGAAGCATTATGTTGGGTTTTATTTACGAACACTATCTCCATTAGCAAAGATGAATTTGCCAATTTCATTTTTTTTTGTCAACTTCAATATAACGTCATCAAAAGACCCTTTAGTATATATAAATTGGAAGTTGTAGTAATATTTAACACTTGCGGCTTTTGCACTGAACCAAATTATACCTGGGACATCTATAAAATGTGATGGTTTAGAAATAATTCAAAAAAATCACGCAAATTTACCCAAAAACTAATGGTTAGAGAAAAAACTAATGGTTAGGAAAAAAGGGTGACGTCGAAGTCACTTCAAAATTGATCACCATCAGGTGTGATTCCCATATTATTATTACATGGATTTGACCTGATAATTCACTTCGAATTGAAAACGCGAACTTGACGTCACTTCAACAAGATGCATTAAACCTTTCTTAAACGCCTTCTTAAGATCGTTTTTTTTGGCAGTCATTTACAAAAAATCGCGCTTTTTTGCAACCGCTTACGTAGGGAAGTAAAATTACCTTTATGCATCTTGCAAATAACTACTCTTAAATAATTATAAAATAAACATAAAACTAACTATTGGTGTCACATCTACAAGAAAGCGTTGAATCTTAAATAAGAACATGGCAACACCAAAGAAGTTTTTCCTTCGAGAAATCTAACAATAAAAAATTGAGGATATAACAACAATAGAAAGGAAAATTGGGCTTCTTTACACTGGTCGAAGATAACTTTTACTATTTATATAGGTAACTTGCAAATCGCTATTCAGAATTTCATAATTGATTTTTTTGCTTTGGTGTAGTGGCCCATATGGCTGCCTGGATATGCAACAATAAAATGAATCATATAATATTTTGATCCATTGTCACTGATTTAGCAAATCAAACTCGTGATTAAAGTGGCCTTTTGTGTATCTAAAACGTCAGAAGTATAAACTTTGTATTTACTACTTACCTTTTAATACTCTTTAAATAAAATGCCAGGTTCATAACATAAATATTACGTATATACCAACAGTTTTTGATTAACTCGTAAGATTGACAAGACTTATTTTGAACTGCAACAGTACGATCAGATAAATTGCAATGGTAGCTATGCCCTGAAAAATACATAATTTATTAGAGATAGATTGAGTTGTATATTATAAATCGTAATCATAATACAGAATAGACGCTCTTATTACGTGGTGAAACTGAAGTTTTTAGTATTGGCAGTTCTTGACCGTAGAATAGTTTAAAAAGAGAAAGGCACTCTCCTATACCTATACCTAAACCACACCAATGATCACTACTTACCGATGACAAAAGTTGTCTATTGACCACTGCATACCCCCGTAATGACACTTTTGGAGGGTTCATGTGGATTGCCGCCAAGAAGAGTTGAACCTGGAAGAATCCGTTGAAATTCTACCAGCAATAAATAGCAACAAAACTTACTTCCTTTGCGGTGGCCTGATCAACGGTATTCAATTTCAAGTCCATCAAACACCACTGAACTCTGTCCGATATGTTAGAAGACGCATAATGGGAACAATCGCAAAATATATACAACAGCGTAAAACAGTAAACGGCGTCAACCAATAGCCCAACTTCTTTGAACGTGAATTTCAAGCCATGGTCGACAACTTCAGACGTAAACCCGTAAACCTTCAGCACGGCAAATAAAACATTCGACGATCGCCAAATAGAGACTTACCGACACCGTAATATTAGTCATCATAAGTAAACAGTAAGTAGAATAGGTTCTTGCGTAAGCATTCCCAAGCTTTTGAAGCACATCGCTTAACTCCAACCACAGACATCTGTAGTATTTTATTATGTACGACGTACAATATTGGTCAACGTCCTAGAAAATAGTATCTTTTTTCGTAGTTGCTATTGTATGGTTAATTAACTTAACCATGAGCAGATGATATCACCAGTTTGCATAATAATGATACAAGGATTTTATTCACCAAAGGTATAAATAAAATTGAATTCGATTTCCAACAATTTTTCTATTGCAGAAAACGCATTAGCTTTAAAATGATTGCCATTTCAATGAGCATAAGCAAATTTGGAGAATAAGCTAAAACTGTGTCAATTTAAAAAAAAGATAATATTTTTTTCAAAATTTTGTTAAAATATTGGAAATCATGTTAAAGTAATGAAAATTTTAAAAATATTCAAATTGGTTTAAACTTTCACTGGTTTCGCGAGGGATTCAATTTTAAAGAAATTTAATTACCTTTTTAAAGCTTTCAGCGACTGCGGTACTGGCATTGCCTATCGCCCTGCAATTGATGTACCACAAAGCACAGTTCATATTTATTGTCGTTACCACATGCAAATAAGCAGTAGTGTGATAAAGGGTAAACCCTTCCAGCAATGCGCTTAGTGTTAACAAAAAACCTGATGCCAAAAAGAGACAACCCAAACTAATGACGCCTATAAGGGTGCTCAAATAGGGAAATTCCATGTCTTTACCTGAAAAAGAAACACCCTCAACACACAACATCATCCAGTGGCATCCAAAGAATTCAACTGGAAACACAATTTACCTTATTTAATGTGATTAAGTTTTTGTGCTGATTTAAGCAGTGGAGTCCGTTTTTTTCTTTCTAAGTATTTAAATTTAGATAAACAATTACGCTTTTGCTACGTACATTCGATCTTCGATTTTTTTTTTGTTATGTTGATACACATACCCCTAACATAAGTTCACAGTTTCAGCCAGTTTGCACGTTTACCTTTTTTTGCGTTAGACGTGTTTTGCGTGCTCGACGATTTTCTGCTATAAACAAAAAATGGAACAAAAAATTTGCATAAAATTTTGTGCTCAAAACTTGAAATGTTGACAACGACATATGGTGAATCTGCTTTGAGCAAAAAAAAATGTTTATAAGCTGTACAAGCTGTTCCAAAATGGCCGAGAAGACGCCAATGACGAATCGCGCTCTGGACGCCCCAGCACATCCATAACTATTACACACACAATATTAGAAAAATTTCTGAAGACGTCGGCATCTCTATTGGCTAGTGCGATGCAATTTTTTCAGAATTTTTGGGCAAAATTTCTTCCGAAACTACTTAATTTTGAACAAAAGGACCGTGGAACGAGCATCGCTCAAGATGATCCTGATGTGCCCAAAAATTCAAGAAACTCATGAACGGAAGGAGGTTTGGAACCATTGAGGAGATAAAGAAAAAATCGCTAGAAGAACTCAAGGCTGTACTAGAAAGTGTATACCAGAAGTGCTTCGAGGATTGGCACAACGGTTATATCTAGCGGGATTACTTTGAAGGGAACAACATTAATTTTGATGAATAAATAAATATTTTTTGATAAAATTTAAAAGTCGCCTTACTTTTTGAACACACCTCGTACAACTACTAGTAAAACGATTTTCTTGCATGTCCAAATCACGAAAATTTCAATGATGTTATTATCAGTGAAAAACCCTGTAAAACGATAAATAAAGATGATTCAATTTTTAGGATCACCTTTACGCTCTCTTTATGCTCGAGACATCTTTATTCAATCCTATAGAGATGATAGTTATGATAAAAAAAAATTCTTTAAAATTTAAATCTCTATGTTTCGAAAACGAAGCATTTCTGGATTTATGTTTACATAGAATATTAGGGCTTATTGTGGACGTAGAATATGCTGTCAAAGTTTGGAAACGGCAATATATAATTATTATCGAATAGTTTCCCATATTGGTGGATAACTACCAATCCAATCCGGATTTGGCTAATCGATAGTTAAAAGAATAAATTCGATATACGGATGTTAACCAAAAAGTTCCCGCACCGTCCAAACATACTGAAAACATTGAAATTGAGACAATGCAATAGCGTCCCTACCAGTGATTTTATAATAGTCCAATTGGAATTTCCCCCAAAAATTCTTGTAGTCGCACACTTCGTACGCGACGCTCCAGCCCACGTACGGTATCGTAAAGTGGGGTATCAAAAACACTATGAAAATGATGGAATAAATGTACTCATCGAATTTTTTGCTTTTGTTCAATAGAATATCCAATCTTTCGTAGCCGACATTAAGTACCAAAGCCGTGGTCGCTACGTAAAATATGTATGCGTATATCATTGGACTGCTCAACCAGCCGAAAGTGATCTTACCGATCTGCCCACGTTGCACCGGCATGACTCCTAAAACCTAAAACATAATGAAAGAAAGTAAAAAAGCACGGATACAGTTTTCCTTCACCAATACAAATTATTGCTGAAGCATCAGCAATCCATCAACAAAAAACTTAAAGAAATGTCCATGCTGCAGATTAGGAATTATACATTTTAAATTTTAATTGTTATATTAATTAATTGTGGGTCAGTTTTTTATTCTTCCAGGTGTGTATTATATTATAAACTTTCCAACCCTCTGTTAAGTATGCTACTAAACTTCATTTAACAACCATTGCTCTCTTAGCCTACTTAACCAAAACACAGTGAAAGCGTTAACTTGGTTTGGTAGTTTTTTTATAAATATAGGATCCGCCAACCAATCCCACGGCCAAGAGAGCTTGTAGAGCGGTACAATTTTTTTTACAATATTAATGAACCTATTATAGTCTTATAACTATAATATGCCTTAACAGTAGACATTGTTGTCGCACTCTGGATTTTAGTGGAGGTACACTGCGAACCTTTCTCTAAATTAAATTAAAACTTATTTGTTGAAATGCGCATCGCAGTGTTTCAAGAATATTGGTAAGTAATATTTTCTAATTATAAGTAAAATAAAACCATTATTCCATTACACCGTCAAACATAAGCAACTTACTCTAAACAAAGTGAGTAGCAACTTGTGATCCCTATAAAACTGGTCATGTTTATCAATAATTCTCCCGTCGTTTTCATCTAAAGCCATTCTTTTCGTAATATCTTGATATCTAGGACTCCTTAAACTGATTACATTGCTAATATGGAGTTTCTCTCCGTATAAATCCGATAAATCCTTTAAATGCATTTTTACGGGATTATTCCCATAAAAGGCCATTTTGTTGCGGCCCGTTGAGGGACCGACTTTGATCTATATCAAATTATGTCAAGAGCACGTTAGCAATGTCAGTAACTGCTTTCCAAAGGAATCGATCTTTAGTTTATCAATTATAAGATAATAGCTGATCAAACATTGGGGAACTCGTGTAAAAATATCAATTTTTTAAAGATGTATGCAATTTTCAGCAGCCATTTACCAATGTCGCAATAATTACACCGCTTTCACCCTAGCTCAAAAACTTTATAGTATTGTTGCGTGTTTAAATCGACAAAAATGGTTCTAGTTCGTCAAAGGCGACAATGAAATTAATCACTCATCATCATTCCACGAAACTGGAAATTTATTTTGACCAATATAACTAACAAGGTCGCTAACTTCTTACGCCCTACTGTTTACTATACACACTACAACAAAATTATATAACGGCTCTATATTTCCGTGCTGCACGGTTTCTCTTTTCGACTGCTGGCGATAGATATCGAATATTTGACCCGTTTTCCTGAAAAGCGACGTCCGTAATCTCACTCCGATTCCTGTGTGCCTCCAAGTTTTTGGTACTTACACGGGCCATTTAGCTCGCTAATAATGAAAAAACTGAAGAAAAAATTAGGCAAATTATCAAATGAGAAAATAATATTTAAAAATGTACTTCAGTGCAGTTATAAAGAGGACTCAAACTTTGAAGACAGCCTATCGAAACTCAAATTTTGTTAACCTACCGATTTAGTGTCCTCAAATATTTAATGTCCCAAACTATAAACTACAATATTGCAATACAATACAAATGTATTTAATAATTATTAGTTTGAGAGGTTTGACCCATTACCACTTATAAAAACTAAAAAAAAAATATGAGAATGCAAATTTTTATTACAATGCCGAAGCGAAGTTCTCTTCATATTAGACTTAAATAGCTAGAAAAAATCCAGCCTCATCATTTCTTCGATTCACTGTAAACCTGCAACAAAATTAACCTACCCACAGGCTACCATTTTGGTATTCTGTAAGCAATTTCTACTTCTTATGTAAATATTTGGCTCAACTGTGGCAATTGTCAGTCATGATGTCATTTAGGCGTCTGTGATTGTACAGAAATTTTAGCTAACCTTAATATTCTGCAAAATTTGTTGACTAGTTGAAATTATTTTTAAAATATTTTTATGATTATGTTCCTAAATATAATAAAGCATTTAACCTAACGTTGCTGGAAGTGTACAAACAATTCTTTTTCAAAGATTATATTCACTTCTTAGTAATAAATATGAAAAGGTCTACAGCAGGTAACAGCAATAAATGGGGTATGTACGACAGAGAACAAGAGAGTACGGGTTTCCGCAAGCGTTTTAAAGAACGTCCACCGCCGGAGTTACGAGGAAAAGCAATTGGCCTTTGGTACGCAGCTAGAAACAAAGCCCGTCGATACGGCAATTCAACTGAGAGGGATAAAGAAATGCGGGCCAAGCGACAAGCATCGTTGGATAGACAAATAGTGATAGTTTAAATATACTTTTTACTGTAATTTCTTCTGTGGACTTGCAGCTGGGAACAATCCAACTTTCAGAAACAAAAAAGCAGAAGATTTTGCAATACTTAGATGAAACAGCTTCAACTTCTACAGAAATTGACAATTTCTATAATGATCTTAAAGGTTTAGAGTTTGAACACAATTTTTTGAATCATATAAATGGCAACATCTATGATAAACTAAAAAGGTATACTCAAGAACTTCGAGACAATGATGAACAGCTAGACACGTTATACTATGATGAATTTGTGAAAAAGAAAAATGACCCAAATTATACTGAAATGTTAAAGTTTAGGCATAATCTACCAGCTATGAAAATGAAGACTAAAATTGTAGATTTAATTAATCAAAATCAAGTTGTCGTTATAAGTGGAGAGACAGGTAACAACTATAGTTAACTTTCTTTTAGCAGCACGTCATTTTTGTCTTGAAGGTTGTGGAAAAACCACTCAGGTAGCACAATTCATATTAGATGATTGGGTTGAAAAAAAACGGGGTTCATTATGTAAAGTAATCTGTACCCAACCTCGTAGGATTAGTGCCATATCTGTAGCTGAAAGAGTGGCATCAGAAAGGGCAGAATCTCTTGGACAGTCTGTGGGTTACCAAATTAGATTAGAAAAGTAAGAAATGTTCTGTTATAAATTAATAATGTCCTACACAGAATGGGAACATGCATACATAGTTCAGTATATAATTCATGGATACCTTCTAGGCATCTTCCTAGACAAAAAGCATCAATTCTATTCTGTACTACGGGTATCCTCTTGAAATACATGGAGAGTGATCCTACTTTACAACAAGTCTCACATCTTGTTCTTGATGAAATCCATGAAAGGGATGTTATATCTGACTTTTTAATTACAGTATTAAGGGATGTTATCAAATATAGAAAAGATTTAAAGGTAAAGAATTGTTCACAATTTTTTTGCAATTTGAAAGAACCCAATTTTAAGGTCATTTTAATGAGCGCTACTATAAATTCAGAGGCATTTTCAAAATATTATGGCAACGCCCCTCATCTCAATATCCCTGGATTCACTTACCCAGTCAAAGAATACTTTTTGGAAGATGTATTACAAATGACCAAATTTTCCTTTCAAAAATCAGCAAAAAAAATATTTCGTAAAGATCAGGATTTTGAAAAATCAAGGACTGAGTACATTGAGCCATACATTAGGCAACTGAAGGCAGAAAACAAATATGGAATGTAAGTTTTTGACATAATCTTACACTATGTAGTATATACTATTTAGCCATTTTTAAGGTTTGTTATAAATGAGCTATTGAAGCCGCAAAGTGAAAGTTTAAATATGCATTTAATATACAGTTTGCTTGAACATATTTGCTTAAAGGTAAGATAATGCAAATTTTCCTTGCAGAAAGTGCACATAATATAGACTCAATTAATAAAAATAATGAGTACAATTTTTTGTAATTCATGATTCTTCAGAATAATTTATTTTTATATCGTAGGACAAAGATGATGGGGCCATTCTGGTATTTGTCCCCGGTTTTAGCGACATCCAAGATTTATGCAAAATGGCCAGGAACTCTGGCAAATTTCCGCCTCATTCATTCATTATAATTCCCATACATTCACAACTGTCAAGTATTGATCAGAGGCAAATCTTCAATCCTGCTCCTAAAGGTTTGTCAAATAATGTGAAAACAATTTTTGTCTTATTTTAAACATTGACGTTGATCTCACAGATATGTTCTCTTGTGTTCATAAAATTAAATTTTTAGTGAAAAAATATGAGAATAAATTGATTGAACCTTGTGTTCTGTGATCATGCAAGGTATAAACATTCAAATATGTGATGAAGTTACAAGAGCTTTGTCTCTAGCAAAATATTAGACTATGTGGAAGAATTTACTCAAGTTGTTCCATTTTTGTAACGCTCTTCTTCTTTTTTCAAAAAATGTAGGCATTCAAAAATAGATCATGATATTTTTCGACTGCTATGGAGATCATATATACATGACAACAAACAAAAGTATGTTTATACTGTCTTATTTTGCATTTGATTTTCTCTTTGATTTGTAAAATACATTATTTATATCTTCACACCATTAGATTTTATATTTGACTCTTTTATTATTATTCATTTTCCACCTTCCTTAACTTCGTAACGCAATATTTTTTCTTGTGGTTAATTATTGTAAACTTCAAAAGCAAATCTATTTGACCAATGTAAGATATTTTTAAGTTAATGTACTCTAATTGAAAATCACATGGGAAGTCAGGCAAGACAAACACACTTTAAGAGATATAACTATTGAAACAAATACTATAAAGGTAAAAATTTAAAAGAAAACGATAAAAATCAAAAAAGAGCACAATGTTTGCCATATAATTTTTTTTATTGTGGTTAAGTATAATAACAAGCGTAAGTTTAAAAGTTCCAAATTGGGTGCGTTCTTAATGCTATTTGACAATTTTTTAAAACAATGCAGAAAAAGTTTTTTGTTCATAAAAAAAAATAATGCTGAACTAATAAGCATACATTTGGTCTTCAAATTATGCAACTTTAGTTTATTTTCACAAAGCGGCATAAAGTATTTTTAACTCACTAATTCAGAGAGCTTCGTTCAAAAAATAAACATACTTTGCAGGTATGCTGCATCTGCATCTCTTAATAAAATAAACAAACCAACTACTGACAGACACTAAGTACCAAAACTGCTGCGGCCCACCTCCTGTGGCATCATTCGCTGCCCCAGAGCAAGAATCTAGCCTCGTTATTGTCATCATTGCATGTTTTAAGATGAACTTTAAATAAGCAATTTTTACAGCTACTTAACTGCCCGACTGAGAGAGAGATAAACAAACCAATGCGAAACTTTTACTTTTAGGAAAACGCAAAATAATAATTTCCACGAATATAGCGGAAACTTCGATTACCATCGACGATGTTACTACCGTAATAAACTGCGGTTTTATCAAATATAAAACATTAGACTTGGAAATGGGTTGCGAATCTCTAAAACCTCATTTGGTGTCTCAGGCGAATGCCAATCAACGTAGGGGTCGCGCGGGTCGCGTGAAACCCGGCGTTTGCTATCATTTGCTAATTCGAGCACGGTATGAGATTCTAGATAAGTTTATGCAGCCGGAAGTTTTACGCGAACGACTTGAAGATGTCGTTTTGCAGCTCAAATTACTTCAACTCGGGGAAGCGGAGTCGTTTTTGGCAAATCTAATGGACCCACCCGACAAAAAATCTGTACATATGTCCGTAACACTCCTACATCGTTTGGGCGCTTTAGATACTAATGAAAACCTGACACCGCTAGGTTACCACATGTCTAGATTACCGGTAGGAGCCCAGCCAGCGAAAATGCTGATTCTCGGATCTCTGTTTAGCTGCCTCGACCCAATTTTGTCAGTGGCCGCTTCTTTGGGATTCAAAGATGCATTCCAATTAAGTATGGATAGCACTTCGGCGGATCATGCTAAGCTAGAATTAGCAGATGGTTGCAAAAGCGATCACTTATTGATGCACTTTGCCGTTCGCGGATACGAAGAGTCAACTAATGGCTACGCATTTTGCCGGAAATATTATCTTAGCGAAAACACACTAAGTTTAATCAAAAGCATGAGGCAGCAGTTTGCCGATATGTTATGCGATATGAACTTTATTGAGAACCATAGTCCACGAGCTGCGAGTCACAATCGTAATAGCCAAAACTTGAGCCTTGTAAAGGCCATAATTTGCGCGGGGTTGTACCCAAACATATTCATTATAAAAAAACATTATTTACTGCGCAGCGTCATGCATGAACCGATGAAGTTTCACCCGAAATCTATCCTCAGTAAAGAAACACATTTTGAGAGCAAACTAGGAGTCTACCATACAAGACTGATGACACAAGGAATACAAGTTCATGACGCAACATTAGTTCATTCATGGCCTTTGGCATTTTTTGGAGATGATTTTCATGAAGGAATTGACAATCATCATCATTTTGTGGTCATTAGTAAAAAGATCCGATTTAAATGTTCAAAAAGCACTGCCAACGTCGTAAAACTAATGCGAGAAAGACTGAACGAAATTTTGAACTTTATGGTTACACATCCAGGACCGATCAATTGGGATCAGAACACTTCAGATAATAAAATTTTAAGGTACTTTATATAGAATAGTAGGGGAATTATCAATTATCAATTACTCTGAAGGATAGCTTAAGGCAATAGTTTTTTTTTTATTTAATTAATTTCTTTTATTTCCAGTGCTATAATTGAACTAATCACTAGTCAAGATATGGATCATTTGGACCTCAGCGATTTTGATGACAGTAATTAATTACCACTTTGCTTTCTCTTCGGATGTAAACCAGATTGGCAATGAAACTTATCTAGTATGTTCAGTTTTTATTTTTAAAAACTTATAAATAAATATGGTATTTGCTTTAAAATAACTTGGAGATCTTGATTTCACTTTATAGCTTTTCTAAAAAAGCTACATTTGGCAAACGGTCAAAAATAATCCAAACTATCATTAATCTCAATGGCAACCTTGTTACTTACACTAAGAAAATGAACTGAAATTCATGGCAGATAGACTTTTCACTGCCACTTCAAGGAAACCAAGATCACCGTGCACACATTCTCGTGTTCATAGTTTGGAAAATTCTTTTAGAAAACTTGCAAACTTATAACGACCTTGAGTTCTATAACCAACCTTTAAAAGAAACCTATCAAAGCTAATTTAAAGATTGAAATCAAAGGTGTTCTAATTCTGGAGGAATAGCGATCTTATTATTCTTGGCAAATTGTTTTAATGCATCATATCGATTTCCAATATTGATCATTTCCTCTCTCATTTTGCCTAGCTCTTCCTGCATAATTTCCATGTCACGCCATTCTTGAGTTTTTTCTACTTCTAATTCGTCCTTTTGTTCTATACGCTTTATCCTACAGGATGCCGCATAACCTCTGTTTTTTAATGTTCGTCGTCTCTGCTTCATGCGAACAATTTCCTCCCGCGTGAGGCCTCTCAATTTTAACTGCCTATTTAAATCTCTGACAGATATGGATACCAACTCATCATCAGAAATATCTATAATAGGTGGAGGCGACAGTGGGGCCTACAATAAATGATTCTAGCATAGTTAAATATAATAAATAAGAAGCACTCACGGGCTTCCTTTCAGCTTTCCTTTGCTCAGGTGTCATCGTTTAATCAGTACCTTTTCCTCAAATGCGAAGCACTTTTCGAGCCTATCAAAGTATTGCAAGTCATTGAGGTAAATTAAAAAATTTAAGAAATACAGTCCCAATCAATGCCATGGAAAATTTTTCTTCTACAAATGCATCGAATGATAGACAAACAAATGAAAAACACTCGCCCATCGTTGACATGGACCTCGGAATACTGATATAGATTTGTAACTTGTTCTCAAAAACAGATAAAAAGTTCATATGATTTGCTTGTATTTCCGATTTAAGATCTGTTAATAGATATCTGGTATATTGTATTTGTTATTGGATATATGTATATGTAGCAAAAATTTTAAGGACGGTCTTAACGGCGTCTTACATGATAAGATCATAATTTTTTTTGCGTAAATATCGAAACTGCTTGCTTTGCTTGTTTTCAAGGCATTTCATAAACTTAACATTACCATTATTAAAGTTCAGTATTTAATTTTTATATTGGTTTAACATTTTGACTGAATTACAAACAAAATAATTTCCATTGTCATCTTTGTGAAGTTGAATTTTCTATTTGTTATTTAGAGAAGTGTCTCTAGAACGTACTTGTATCGACGCGCTGGTAATGTTTACCGAGAATATTTACGTAGGCAACAACATTAGTATTCTGTGACAGACACAAAATACTTTATTAGTGAGGTCTGTGGGTTACTTGGGTAGTATGTAACATTTGTACTTCTAGATTTTTGTATTAAACAGACGTCAAAACATTCCGTTCACTTTTAATTATTGCCCATATAATTGAACATTTATTAGCAAGAGATTTTCACAATAAAGTTTCATATTTTCAATTTGAAGAACCACTGTTCGTAGTAGAAAGAATAATTTATCTGGAAAACTAGAATGACATCACAACCAAAAAAATCAGAGAAGAGATTCGTAAGTTTTAACATTATAAAATTTTATCTTTTTGTATTAAAATTTTTTCGAGTATTTTTGATATCAGTGTGCTCTGATATGCTACTTTCATTTTCAGGCTCCTCTATCTCCTCCACCAATATTAGACATATCAGATGACGATTTAGTGTCAATTTCCGTTAGAGACCTTAACAGACATTTAAAGTTAAAGGGGCTTACAAAAGATGACATTGTTCGCATGAAACAAAGGCGAAGAACTTTAAAGAACAGAGGTTATGCTGCATCATGTAGGATAAAGCGAATAGAACAAAAAGATGAGTTGGAAGTAGAAAAATCACAGGAATGGAAGGACTTAGAAGTCATGCAAGATGAACTTCCCCAAATGAGGGAAGAAATGAATAACATCAGAAGTCAATATGATGCTCTAAAGCAATTTGCTTTGAGGAATAAAATATCTATTCCTCCAGAATTGGAACATTTGTGATGTTAGTTAGGAAGTTGTTGTTTTTTCTTTTTCACCTTAGTAATAATTTTAAATAACAGTTATCACTTGTTGAACTCCAGTCTGTTATAACTGGTGTCATTGATATGAGTAGATAAAGAATTGGCAATTTGGTTATAACCAACTGGAGTTGTGGAACTATCTATTATAATGATGTCTATATTATATAAGTTTGCTGTATAATAAATTAATTAAATATGTTTTTTTTTAATAAATAATATTAAATTTCGTCTAAACAATAAATTTCATTAAAAATTTGGATTTGCCCATTTTTGGTCCAGAAATAACTTTAACGTTTATTATAAAGTTTAGTAAACTTGTAAGACCCCAAGTACCAACTTTAACATAAATTCATAAAGAATACATCGAGGAATTATAGTGCGCAAAAAATAGTCCCATAAAATCCACTAGGCTTGAGGCAAATAGGTTTCTTATTAAAAAAGTACATCATGCAATGTGACACAATTTCAAATAAGAAAAAAAAAGATATATTACAAGCTAACAAAGTTTGTAACACATTTTGTGAACACATGTTCAACAAAAATTAGTTGATACTGCAGAAAAAGGTGGTTTTGATTATGGGAATTTTTAAAGAAGCTTTTGATCAATGTTCAAACTGCAATTATGGTTCTCGGTCAGTTCCGCCTGCTAATGCGATACATTTCTCGCGAAAGGCATATTTCTTGTAACTAATACCAACTATTTGGATTGATGGGACGTATTACGTCACACTTCACTTGTGTTCTCTGGCAGTGGTTCTTGAAAGTCATCCCATACGCCACTCGACTTAATCATTACATGTGATGAAGGGAACCTATTAGCTTGTTACTATACATTACTGCCAAATTTTAGCAATATCGGTAAAATGTTGAAGTATTAATGAAACTGAATTAAAAAAGAAACTTTAGGATTTTAGTAAACATTTTTATATAAACTTTTCTACTTAAAATTAAAATCTTTATTTGAAATCAAGATCGCCAGATTCATGACATAATAATCATCCTAAAAGCTACTTGCTATTTTTGTAATAATGAAAGTTTTAGAGTTATACAGCGGAATTGGTGGCATGCACTTTGCTTTGAATGGTAAGTAATTCTAATAATTTTATGTTCTGAATTGTCTCATGGTTTTTAGAAAGTGGAGTACCTGGGATAATAAAAGCCGCGGTAGAAATAAATAACATTGCAAATGCGGTTTACAAACATAATTTTCCTGATACTCTTGTGATAAATTCTAACATTGAAAGCTTAACCGCAGAAAAAATCAACAAACTTGATGTGGATACAATATTGATGTCGCCTCCTTGTCAACCATTTACAAGAAATGGCTTAAAAAATGACATCAAAGATCCAAGAACAGATTCTTTTCAGCATATATTAGATTTATTACCCGATCTAAATATTAAAATGATCCTCATGGAAAATGTTAAAGGATTTGAAGAATCAAAAATGAGGACACATTTCATTAATAGTTTGGTCAAATGTGAATTCATTTACCAGGAGTTTCTTATAAACCCTACCCAAATAGGTGTACCAAATTCTCGTCCGAGATATTATTGCTTAGCCAAAAAAACGCCTGATAAATTTAATTTTGAAACAGGCCTTTTGGTATGTTGATTCAACCTATAGGTATATAAATTTAATTCTTTTAAAATTATATTTTAGCTACACAATTTTCCATTACCTTGCGAGGAAGTCCAATGTTTTGAGGTAGCAAATATTCTAGAGGAAGTTGTCAATGTTAACGAATTTTCTGTACCTTTAACTCTTTTAAAGAAAAATGTAAAAACTTTAGATGTTTGCTATAGAAGTTCAAGACATACTTGTTGTTTTACCAAATCATATGGCCGATATATTAAAGGATGTGGTAGTGTTCTTTCTGAGTGTGACGAGAGTGAGGCAAAAAAAAGTTTAGAAATCCTACAGGAATGCAGTCAAGATTCTGACGTGTTTCTCCTCCTCTCTGAAAACTTAAACTTGAGATTTTTTACCCCTAGAGAAATTTGTAGGCTCATGTGTTTTCCAGAAACATTTAATTTTCCCACTGACATTAATATCAGACAACAGTATAAAGTATTAGGAAATAGTATAAACATTAAAGTTGTTTCCAAGTTAATAAAAGTTTTATATACTTTGTTTTTAACATTTCATTGTATTAAAATCAATAACAGAATAACCAACCATAGTCCGTAAGTACTTTTAACAAATAATTAATTGGAATAGTAGGTAAAAACGAATTTCGTTCCTAAGTACCAATTGGAATGTATTTGTCGGAAATATTTCCGGGCCAGACTAAATCTGGACCATAGAATCCTAAGTTTTTTTGGGAAGTGGACAAATTGGAGTTGCAGGACCATATTTAAAAAGGGAAAATAATCAGTTTTTTTAATTACGCCACTGCTTTATATGGCGATTCAGCCAGCCTACAACCAGGTTTTAAACTTTTGAGCCAACATCCTACAGTTCAAGTTGGCATTTTTTTTTAATTACACTTTATTTGGCCACTGCTTCATAAGCCAATTCGGCCAACTTAGAACCAAGTTATAGCTTATAAACAAATTTTTAACGATTACAACTTCCAAGGCATCCGGTAGAAATCCAACCCACATCCTCCGGCAAGTCGAGTTAGCATGTCTAACGCCTTACCAACCGAGGCATCCTCGGTCCCAAGAGTTAGGTCATTCGGCCAGCTTACGACAACTGTGAACATAATTCAAAAATCCTAAAGGATGCCTTTCTACGAGAAGGGTCTGGACCAGTACATCATCCTCCAGGTTGATTAACATACACAAAATGGAATTTCAACAAAAAAAGGGGTTCTTTCACCGATAACAAAAAACGTCTTCCGCCGCGGAACATCTGGGCCGATTTGGCCTCTATACCGGCGTGAACAGGAAAAAACAGCGGAACCGACAACGATTACAACTTTAAAACATCACTAAGCACGAAAACACACTAAATCCGCTCAGTGGAAACCAATTTCAAAATTTTGGGGACAATTACAAGGGAGGTTAAACCGCCATGTGCAATGCTCACGACAGAATCAAATCTTGGGCTAATTTAGAAAACTTTGATTCTTCTTTTTTACTTCTATCATATTCTGCAAGAGGAAGTTAAGCCGTCAAATTCATGTCCAAGAGTAATAACACGAAGAAAAGTACTTGCTTAGAAAATAAAAATTTCAGTTTTTAGGTCGTTTGATATATTAATAATTGCTGTTATAAAGTAAATAAATGAGTGTTTTTTTTTAACGCTAAGAGAAGCAAATTAACATATTGTCTATTGCGAGATGTTAGTGCTATTAAGCCACTCAAGGATTTAGTGTATATTATGTGATATAATTTTTGTTTAAATGCACGAAATGTTTCGAAGCAGAAGTTGGTTTGGTGGTGGATGGGGTCGTCCGAAAAACCCCCATTCCTTGGAGCATTTAAAATATTTATATAATGTTCTTTCAAGAAATCAAACTGTATCTGAACATAACAGAGGATTGTTAGTGGAAACTTTACGATCTATTGCTGAGATTTTAATTTGGGGTGACCAAAATGATTCTTCTGTATTTGAGTAAGCAAGTTATTAGTTATACTGGTCTTAAATTAATTTTTTTCGTTTTCATTATAGTTTCTTCCTTGAAAAAAATATGTTATCATTTTTCTTACGAATTATGAGGCAAAGAAGCGGAGGCTCGAACTATGTATGTGTTCAGTTGCTACAGACTTTAAATATTTTGTTTGAAAATATACGTAATGAAACTTCATTGTGTAAGTGTTATAAGTGCATATTAATTTAGTTTAACATTTAGACATTTTTTAGATTACCTTCTCTCAAACAATCATGTGAATTCAATAATCGTACACAAATTTGACTTCTCTGACGAAGAAGTTATGGCCTATTACATCTCATTTTTAAAAACACTTAGTTTAAAACTCAATGCCCATACAATTCATTTTTTTTATAATGAAGTAAGTATTATTTTACTTAGTTATGGCATCTATATGTCAAATTATTTTAGCACACAAATGACTTTCCATTGTATACTGAAGCAATAAAATTCTTTAATCATCCAGAATCGATGGTTAGAATAGCTGTAAGAACCTTAACACTGAATGTCTACAAAGTAGATGATGCAAGCATGTTAGCCTTTATAAGAGATCGAACTGCTGCTCCTTATTTTTCTAATATAGTTTGGTTTATTGGGAAACATATCCAGGAACTAGACACTTGTGTGAGAAATGATGCTGAGTAAATTTAGAAACATATAATATTGTTACGTGTTATGCTGTATTTGCGATTTTCAGTCACCAGTCTCAAAACCGGCTTGCTGATTTGGTTGCAGAACACCTTGATCATCTACATTATCTAAATGATATACTTTGTCTTAACATAACTGATTTAAATCACGTTTTAACAGATCATTTGCTTCACAAGTTGCTATTGCCACTGTATATTTATTCCTTGCTCTCATATAGAAGGCCAACATATTCAGAAAGCGGGGATCAAAGTGTAATAAAAATTTTACAGAAAGGTTCATTATAAATAATTTATATAGCAAAATTGATACAACTAAATTGAAATTTTTTTAGGATCATTAATAAATGACTCACCCAAAATGAATGATCCTGCTAATGGAAAAGTGTCTTGTGTGGTATCATTGTTTCTACTGTCTCAAGTTTTTCTGATCATATCCCATGCACCTTTGGTGCAGACACTGGCCTGGATTATTTTAAAAACGGACAAAAATATATTTGAAAAAGGTTTCAATTTGGAAATGTTTTTATTGTTTATGAACAATTCATTTGATTTGTCCTTTTAGGAGTTGCCAAATTACTGGAACATTATGAAAATGAAAAGAAAGCTCTAGACGAAAGTTTAAATGATTCTGTGATTGCTGTAAGTTCTAGAGAAAGCTCCAGTTCTAGCGAAAATCTGATAGAAGATCAAAAGAACATTACAGATGAAGAAAAGCAAAGATTAGCAAGTACCTCGCTAAACGACACTGGGGTAATGGAAAAGCCTTTCTTGGAAACAATTTATAACTCACTAGATTGTTTGGAAAACGATTATACAGCATTATTTGCATTATGTTTATTGTACGCTATGGCAAACAATAAGGGTTTGTCTTTCATTTCATATAAAGTTAAATTTAAGTTAAAAACAACATTTATAGGAGTAACATCTGATATTATAGAATATATTTTGAGGCCAAAAAAGTTATTTATTTCAAAATCTATATCTAAAGAAGTAAGATATTGCTACAATACATTCCTTGTTGAGAAACTGCTGTATATAATAAGTTTATCTTGTCAACCGACATGCAGGTAAGTAACCTAAACAAGGCTTATATTCTTCAATTTTTCAAATCTGTATTTTAGGGTAAGGTTGGTGACCCTAGAACTTGCTTTAAAGGTGCTTATGCAAATTGTGCTGTATGATGGCAAAAATATTTTAATTGACCAACACAAGTTGTCAATAGAGACTGCTAAGTCCCAAAGTATGGCACTGCTAAGAAATTTTTATAAAAGTGAAGAAATATTTTTAGATATGTTTGAACATGAGTGAGTATATTCAGTCACCCACTCAAATAATTTTTAAATCCATTGATCAAAGCAGATTTGTAAATGCTTTAAGTTGCAGATATACTAGGTATAAACATTTCCTTACTTATAAACACAATTTTGAATTTTACAAAATCAATTGTCTAGAAAACCGATGTAAATACTATAAAATTATAAATTATTTAATAGATCAATATTTTGAGGATGTGGTTATTTGTATCAAGAAAAGAATAAAAGTTTATATGTAAAGAAGGCACCAAGTATTTACCAACAAGAAATTGAGTTGTTTTTTCATTGCGCTACTGCCTTGGTACGTCCTACCTCTAATAAGTGAATAAATTGTTGCGTTTTTACAGAAATTCAATGTTTTTAAATCGAGTGGCAGGCTATTGTTTGAATTTTTTCTGATAATAGCTTTTTTAACCTCTTCTTTTTGTTATTTACGATTGCGATTTTTGAGAAAAAATAAAAATACTATTATCTTGACTATTTAAATATCGTAATGTTCTTATGGACCACCCTGTATAATACTTTCCTTCTGCAATTAAAACGTGTCTCTGTTTTTTTTCTCAAATACATCTCGCACTCTGTACAATATGTAAAAATGGTAAATACAGAAGTTTAGGTTAGTTTTAGGCTTATTTCAGGAGTATTTTTGCAAATTTTCTTTATAAGAAAATCATTTAGCTCAAAACTGATTCCTTCAGTGTAGCTTTAGTTATCAATTTTAGGGTAGTACTCAGTTCATTACCCCCAATGACGATTTTTCAGATACTGTGATATGTCGCGCGGGTTGTTAAATGTAGAATGGTTATGTATGGACAGCGCCATTCTTTTACCTCCTACTGGAACTCCAATGACTGGTATTGATTTTATCAAAAGGCTACCCTGTGGAGAGGTAGTTGACGCATATTGACTTTTGCAAATCGCGATTGAGTAAATAGTTTCTTGTTTCAGAGTGAGAAAGCTAGAAGAGCAATCCGCCTGTTTTTTCTGATGCGCAGTACAGTGTTGGTACTAAACAGCGAACCAGAAACACAACTGCCATTAACGAATCCTCAAAGCTGTGTGCAGATCGATCAAGCCCTGGACCTGAGTATATCTCGTTGTGTGTCTCAAGCCTTGTGAATAACACAATCTCCTATGCTTTTGATGACCACATCTCGCTGTCTTGTATGTGTGTTATTGTGTTGTGTGCCTAAAAAGAGTAAATGCAGGACAAACACCACGTCCAAAAGCTGATTCGAGATAGCTGCAGTGCTTTTTGGATTTTGTGTTTCCTAACATTAGGCTATTCGGCAGTGAGAAAAATAATGTATTTATTAATATCCTTTTAGATGATGGGTTTTGCAAGAAACTTGGTCAGTCCACTCATTTACTAAATCTGTCATCACATGTCACTAAAGGCAAAATGAACTTTAGCCCTTTGAATAAGTAGATTTCTATATATAGGTAAAATACAGGACATCTGTGCTCATAAATAATTCTAAATTTAAATAAATCTCAAAGAACAAGACACCAATTCGTTATATTAATAGAAGTTCTACAAACAAGTCTCTATGAGATGTGACTTACATTTTTATTCCCGGTGTTTTCTCACTTGAATATATACTTGCGCTACTACATATCACTTATGACTTATCTCATTTACTCTTTAATAAATCTAAATATTTATGAAACATTTGCCTGTGTTTCGATTTTATATTTATCTCTAGTGTATTATGACGTCGCAGGTTGCGTGAGTTTTAAAAATTTTAAATTACAAATAATTCTTAAAGGAAATAAGCCCATTGTCACTGAAAAGTCTGTGGCCATTTTCAGAAACTTTTAAAGTAGTATACAGTAATTATAATTTGCAGAGGTAGTTGCTTGCGCAAATTTAGACTGGCGATTGTCTTATTCACAGGCAACTTGACGGAAAAGAACTGATCATGAAACCACCTCTTTTTTTCAGACAACTCAGATTTAATTGCGTGCACTGTCCTGTATAAAGATGGGACAAAATTGAGGCGGTTTTTAGTTATTGACGTAATGCAGCTTATTTTGGTAGAACCCGACAACAAAAGGTTTGTTGTATTAAATCAAAGCTCCAAAATTAAAAATGCGAAAATTATAGGTTAGGTTGGGGTGTGGCGAAATTGGTTGGATTTCTTCAAGACATTGAAGTAACCGGCGACAAAGACGATTCTCGATGTTTACACATTACCATTCATAGGCCAATCTCAGGTGCGACCACTAATAGGATACCGTTGCTCAGTGCAAAGTTTCTTTTTGACGATAACATCAGGTGTATGGCCGCCAAACAGAGATTAACCAAGGTACATCCTCTTAAAAAATAAGTGGTTCTTTAATTAGTAGGTGGTGGCAAAATATTGAAGGGCCCTCTTCATTCTCGAACAAGTGGCAATGTCGCAACTTTGATGTGAAATGACGCTCGCATGTACAGCAGTGCGAGGTTGCCGCTTCCTCAAAAAGCCTTTGATATTTCATATAAAATGCTGTTTGTATTATTGTATTTTTCAACTCACCGTTGCATTTAGATTAATTTTGTAACATGGCAAATTGAATATTGAAGATATTTTTTAAAATTGTATGCAAATTTTTTGGTTACCGAAGTCAAATATGAGAAGAGAGAATAGTTGAAAATATATAGAATGTTCTATTTTTTAAAAATGGATTTATTTATTAAAAGCCTTTATTTATTTGGTCAGGGTCGAATAAAAGCCAGGCAGAAGAAGATGCAGCACATCGCCCGCTTGTTGGAAATTCCGGGTCAGTCTGGCCCTCCCAGTCCAGCTTATACAGGTCAAGGTTTATATGCTTCCCGAATAACGGGAAGGGGTATCCGCGAGAATAGACCTTTATTTGGTGTCAATAGAGTACCCGGTTTCGCAGCACCTAAAAGAGAAAACTCACCTGGTGTAATACATAAAGCTGATGAGACCAGAAGACACAGAGAAGGTAAAATAGGTTCAAATGGGTTCAAACACTGAAAGAAACATCTGTCGATTATTGTAGGTGAAAGCCCCAATCGATTATCGGCTTTGAAAAAGCAAAACGCGCAATCGACAAGCAACATAAAAAGAGAAACCAAATCTCGCGACAGTTCAGCAAATCGTGTCAAATCTCGAGAGGGTTCGCCTCGTATGCCCAGACCAAGATCCGAAGAAATACCTTTGGAGTTGATGAAGAAAGGGCGGGGGTTGATTATAGATATGGCACCGAAAGTAAGTATCCTGCCACGGCCCCAGAACAGGTCCGAAAGTGAACCTTCAACCTCATCGAATGCAAATGTTGCGGGCTCAAGTAATGAAATCGTATCTAAAACTGAATCGATAACTTCTGATGCTTCTGTGATATCCGAAGAGACGTCGTTTATAGGAGCCGTGAAGCGGGACGAAAAGATAGCAAATATTGAGACAGCGTAACTGTTGTTTTTTGCAAATTATAGTAAAATTATTTTTTTTATTCAGCTAGCAGCTTTGGCACTTTGTTGAATAATTTTGTAAGTAAACCGGAGAATCGTACTCAGTTATAAATAAATTGACGATTTTAATTTGTGTTATTATTGTGTAAAAACTTCGCGGGATCCGTTAATTTAGAGAGAAGTTTTGTACTTAATGATAACCTCTATTTTTTATCACACTTTTTCATTTTATTTTTTGTTGCTTTCCGAAATCATCATCAAATCATTTTGTGTGTTTTTGTACCTAATTTTGCATAAAACTTTATCAAGAAATCCAAAATAGCAAGATTGCGGGCCCACAGAAATTTTCCAAGTAATCATAAATCGACAAGCCTGCCAAGCTTTTGGTATTTACTGTTAACAGATTGTTCATATCCTTTTTACTTAATTAAAAATGAGGTAAATGAACAAAAATGAGAATTTTTGATTGTTTTTTAAAATAGCTCTTTAACCACTTTTTGAAAAAGGCCGTGATTAAAACAAAATATATATTTTTAATGTGATTAAGTGTTTGACCTGGCCTCGTATATGTATGTATTTAAAAATATTAGCTTTTCAGTAAGTAACGAAATGGTAAAGATACAGAGGGGTTACTTGGGCAACATATTTTAAAAAATTTGATCTAAGTACTGGTTAAGTTTGACTATATAGGCGGCAAGTAAAATGTCAGGTTAAATGTCGCAAAGTACTTTTCGCCATTGTTTTCTTAAACAGCGCACAAACATTTTTTAGTTTTCTGGTTTTTAAATTGGAAAAAATGCAGCAGTGAAAAATTTCACCGACCCCGCAATTTTCAGGATTTCAAAAATTACGATTTTTGTGCATTGTTATATCGTAATCTTAGACGCAACAAAATGACAGTGAATGATGTCCGATAGCAAATCAAAAATAAGTGTCGCGAAAATCTTGAAGAGTTTGGAAAAGAACTTTGGAAATGATCAGAAAATTACTCTAATAGGGAAACCCTTAAACAAAAATGCGTTTGCGTCTAAAGGGAAACAATCTTCAAAAGCGGATATAACGTAAGTTTACGTACAGAGTAATATCCGTAAATTTCGGTTTTAACTTTTTTCGTATATTTCATATGCAACGGTTATTCTGCTGTTCTCGTAAAGATATTAAAACAATATAATATATATTCATCTTTTTAAAAGCATTTGTCAGACTTAACAAAATGTACGCCAGAGAATTTCATGATGTAAAAAGTGTATTGCAATTTATCGCGACAGAAATTCTTCGCGAATTGCGAATAGCTCTGACCAACTAGAACCCATTCAACTATATTTGAAAATATAAAGATTGCAATTTATGTGAATTAAATTAACAAAACAGCAAGAAAATATTTAATCAAAACGACAGTCAACTAAATTTCAATAATGCTCTCCTACCACATCAAAAAAACAGGTGCAAAAGTGACATCATTGCGATTCGTCACCACATCGGTATAGACACAGCATGATATACATACATAGCTCTTAACGGATTTATCATGATATTGGAAACCGTTAAATTAACTGATTTTGGAAATTAAAATTAACATTGTTTTGTTTTACTCATTTCAATCTCTCCTCTCACAAAATTATTAATAGAAAACTAAAACTTATAATATTGTACTCGGAGAAGGAGAATGCTGTTTAGACATCATGGGCCTTTTTAATTTAAGGAATTATTGGCGCCATTGTCCATGGACCAATCTTTATGGGCAAAATATGTACAAGCGGCATTGCCGCGGTGATCAGTTTTTACTATTTTATTCTCAATATAAATACTTCCAAAGGATAGTTGTTCTTCCTAACTGAATTTGAAAAAAACTGGAACATAGGTTAAACTATTATTGTAAATTTGTTTTAAATGGTTCTATTACAACTCCCTCAAAAAAACCTTTAATTGTTTGCAAAATTTCAAAACATAAATTGAACGTGACAACCTCGCACATTGACTCAGCCGGTAATGATCGGGCGCGGCCGAGCGACGGTTAACAACTTCGCTACTGACATTTCACAGACCGCAACAGCACACGACGGAAACCGGTTGCGTTTACTTACAATTGTCTCGCGACAAATCTACAAAATCCCAACACAAAAATCGCGTTATTTCTCAGAATTATTTCCGATCTAGTGCTCTCCGATGCTCGTTTACCCAATACGGTGACATTTGGCGCGTCAGTCTGCAGAACAGTCGACTTCGTCTAGTGCGAGAGAGTGGCGATTTTTTTGTTTTTACATTCCTCTTGAACCATGGCCGACGCGGATGCAAAGGATCGTTACGATCCTGAACTGAAATATTTGTGTGTGGACAGGAATAATTACAATGATCCTGCCACCCAAGCAGAATGGACTCAAAAGAGGCTCGTGTGGGTACCCCACGAGACTCAGGGTTTTGTCGCCGCGAGCATCAAAGGCGAAAAAGGCGACGAGGTCGAGGTGGAAATTCAGGAAACCGGTAAAAGGGCAACGGTAGTCCGAGACGACATCCAAAAAATGAACCCGCCAAAGTTCGACAAGGTGGAGGATATGGCAGAACTGACGTGCCTCAATGAGGCATGTGTTCTGCACAACCTTAAGGACAGATATTATTCAGGCCTGATTTACGTGAGTACAGTATAACCTTCGAATCAATTCTTGTTTGCATTTTCAAATGGTTAGTGGAGACGAAGACGAAAATAATCGGTGACCGGCACCGCACGCGTGTAACAACTATTAAGTCCTTTTGTTTTGGAACCTGTTCCTCGGAAGGAGTCATGCCAAATATACGCTTCACGTTTGCGTAAAAATTCAGAAAACCAATCAATTCATCAATCAATCAATTTTTTCTGTTTTTAAGGTATCAAAAGACAAAAAATATTTGGAAATCTCGATATTTACACCGAAAAAACTTGAGCTTAGCGCAAATATTTTGCCGAACAGATGAAGAACAGAAAACAGAATGAGCGATTCTAGGAAATAACAGGACCAATGATTTTCATGAAATTTAAACTGACTTTAATTTTTCCTAAAGAATTCACTTCGGTTATGAAATTTTAACTCGTTTAGTGTAATTACCTTAGTAATAATTATGTTCCTAAACCGGGTAATTAAGATGTTAGGAAGTAGTAAATGGCTTCGCATTATGGTTTGAACTGATAACAAAAGGGATTAAATTTCAGCATCTGCTGCGTTTGTGAATGCTTATATTTTTAATTTAAATAAATTATCAAAAGTGGTATTGTTATAGGTGAAAAAAATAAAAATGTGAAAAACAGTGTCCAAAATACAAAATATTGAGGTTAGATGTTCTGTCTTCAATATCGTGAAGCTGTTGCCATATTTTGTTTTAACACTTGCTACCTCGTTCCCACTATATTAATGTTCATAGTTATTTATAGATATTAATGGTTAATGTCGGGAAATGTTGTTAGCTGATAAGATAAAAATCGCGTATTTCCACAAATAACGATTTCGTTTGTTTACAAAAACGTCGAATTCTGTCATAGTTGGTAGAGTGTATTGATTTTCTGATTGGGCATTATTATACTGTCAAGAAAAATTTTGATGGTCTTATTAGGTGTACATCAACAAAATACATAATATTTGTACCAGAGAGTATTCGGGAATTTTTTAAGACTATTTTCAAGAGAAGTATGAACAATAAATGTACTCTGCACAATTTGCAATTATAATTAATAATTAAACAACATTGCAATGACAACAGACTGTTATTATAATTAGTAAGCAAGAAATGCGAAATGTCACCGCTTTCGTTCTTGCCATGTTGAATATTTGAAGTTATTATTTTAAAGTATACAAGCGCTGCAAAACAGATTTAAGTTAACTTGGGTTTATCCAAAACCGTCGCCGAAAAATGATTTCTTTTAGAATTTTAGGTTTAACAAATTCGGATCATGTCGTAATTTGTCGACGTGCCGGCACCTCTATGTTATTTTGGAAATTTGAATAACAAATGGCCCCAAGCACCTGGTGCGATTTCCGTTGGTTCTGTTGCTTTGAAATGACCGCGTCGGTATTTCGCATAGACAAAACTATATAGATCTCTGAAATCCCAAAATAGAATTTTACAGTCTGTCACTTTGTACAGTACTAGTCGTTTTACGGACGACACCAGGAGCGCGGTGGAATATAAACGAGTACTGTATAAACACCCAATGGAAGTGTTCCATGACAATAAGAATTTTAGTTAAAATTAGTTTTTGACGTAATTAATTTTTCCTCTTTATGAATATGTGGTCGAAACGGACGCGATTGGTTATCGTTGGTGATTTATTGAAGCGATTTTTTTTATTAGTAAACGAGCAAAATGAATGTTTTCGTTTCATGCGTTAAAATGTAAGGAATGCGTGGTTCCATTGGGCGTCAGGTAAAACCCTCAAAGCGTTTTATTTTTCAGTAGCGTACACGATATCTTTTCTCGTTTTAAACATTCGAATGGGTTGGTATTACAAAATTCTCAATTTTGTGAATCAAAAATATGAAATTGTTTTTTCGTAACGACTAAGACTGCTTTCTTTTAGTTTTTGACAGACCCTGCCATATAAAAAGCTCTATGCAAATGTTCAAATTTGGACACGGTTCCGCATTCAATGCAAATTAAAGTACGTCTTGGCTCGAGGTTCTTCGAAACGGAAAGTACTACTTGAAGCATCTTTATATGCAAAGTATAAGTACACGAGCACCCATCGCGGTATAAGTTATTAATATTATGGGTTTATGTATTTAATGATTCAGGTATCTTTTCCGCTGTACTAGCGTTCACGCCTTTTTATCTTACCTATTAGTAGATTTAGGTCAGTGATGCGGGAGCATTTCTATAAATTTTGGGAACATAAAAAAATGGTATAGTTATCTTATAAGTACAGCGTTAAGTACGCTTCTTAGTTGACTAGTCAAATTCGAACAAAATTTTTAAACATCAAGTGTAGAGTATTATCTATCATCATTCAATTAATAATAATTTGTATGTTATAATATATTATTATGCGTTTGTGATGTTCAATTTACCTATAACTCACAATATAAATAAATATAATTTTATTGTTTTTTAAACTTATTTCGGTCAATTGACCGCTCAATTCCACAACCCTAACAGTATTATTTGACTTTTTAGGTGAATTGCGAAAACCAAAAGTATCCGGAATACGTACCCCTATAAAAAATTCTCTGAATTTTCTTTTGCCATATTACGACCGCGTTTTCGTAAATTTAATTATTTTTTTATATCTGTATTAATAAATATCCAAATTTCACATAATCATATCTGTGCAATTGCTCTTTCTTTACAAAGATATAATCGACGTGTTCAATTAAATCCCGCATAAAGCAGTTGCATAATATGTAAACTTCATGCATTTCAGTTTAACGAGAAAATTGTGCACTAAGAACCAAAAATCGCAACTGCCGATATTGGACTGCTGTACTTCGACCAGAAATATAGTGCTTTTGCAACCGATGCCGTAACCATTCCAGGACCGTCCTAGAAAATGATCTACCTACACTAACACGCGGGATATAAGTATCTTTTCAATCTTTTACGCCAAACAAGTAACAATTTATTACGTTTCATTTCATTACATTTCTATATAGTTCTTATTGCTACTCCTACTTCCCCTTCTGAATTTCTTATAAAATTGTAAACATTCAAAACAATTTGTTTAGCATCCGAAGACAAAGGGATCCGTTTTTTTATTTGAGGTAGTTCATCTTCTAAATTGTTATTAAGTTCGACTACCATCTCCATTTCGTCTTCAAATTCTGCCTTGTTTTCCATTTTCGGTCTTCACATTTTAAAGTGTTAAAAAACAGGAACCTTTAAAATATGTTTTATTGTAAGATCCTAATAAATATTTATCTGTATTCTTATGACGCATCTTTATCTCCTGCGAATATAGTCTATATTCTTAAAAAAGACTGGTGTTGTTTACAAATCGAAGAACTATGTAGAAGACACAAAAGTAGAAGAAGAAGAATGTTGTTAATCGACAGGCACACAAGGCAAAAATGATTTTTTTCAAACTTACCTGCGAGATAAATAGAGTACAGGTACCTTACCCTTTGAACTATCCAGGGTCAAAGCTCGAGAATCAGGTACGTAAATATGTACTTACTGGAAGGATCACAATCAAAAACTTCGGTAATATATACGAACATATTGCAGTTTAGATTAAACTCTTAAGAACGATACATATCACCTTGTACTTATTCGAAAATACCCCGCAGACCTACTTAATGCAGAATAAAAACATCTGTTGGGATTGATTTTACCACAGTCCTGCGAAGGTCTACGGTTAAGGTACTGTAAAATTCTTAAAACGTCAACGCAATAAATGCACTATATATTTGGTCGTATTATAACTGCACGAATACGACCAATTGCAATAAGTAAAAATACATTCGGCGCGTAAACAATCTGAAAGCAGGGTCAGGCCTTGGAGTTTCTTTTTTCGAGATCTTGACCTGTGGGGACCGGATTTTTTTGATACCCGTCGGTTTGGGTCGGTGACCTCGCGCCCCCGCGACCTCAGCCTTCCGATGTCCAGGCGCATTGTTGCCGATCTTCGGGAATACGTTCCATGGTATCGTCGTCATTCACAAGATGCAAGAACAAAGAGTCGGACACGCGTCTTATTCGATGGTTTTTGTTCGTCACGGTGACGTTTTAGCTTCGTTTCTTTGTTCTATCGTTTCCTGTATGTACAGGGTATCAGTTTTTCCATGGTTATTAGCAGAGCGCATTTCCGGGCTGCGTTTTTGATTTTTCATTTGGTTGTTCCAACCTGAACGGTGTGCAGTTTTTCTAGCCTGACATTGCCTTGGATATTGACTCGAGTTTCTTTTGTGCTGCATATCCTGTAATAGTCCCTTGAAACGTATTGATCTCAATAAAAGTTTTCATATCTTCCTTTTTGCTTATCACATCAATTTGTTTTCATTACAGCTTTAAGGAACCCTCTATTCAGACTGATACTAGTATCAGACTTCTGTGGAGATTTGAATGAATATTTTGTAATGTAAAATATCTACCTTACTACCTCACTCTTCATTTGATTGTAGGTCTTTAAAAAAAATCCCCACACTGTTTTTTGGCTTCTTTATAGCGCTGTCGCAATCTGCAAATGCTCTGTACACACCCTAATGGATGACTGCTTCCCAAATTGGTGAGAATATGTGTCGCACTTTATATTGCTTGGGTGTTGAACAAATTGAATTTGAATACGGCTGGTGTACACTTGAATATTGAACAAAACTTAATCTTAATAAGATCCAGCACTTGACGATTTGGAGTAATAAAGCTATTACGAATGGAAGTTCATCTAAACCACTTGGTGTGGTCAGCGATCACAGATTAAGCAATCAAGCAATAAGAACTATTGCTGTCAGCCATGGTTTATCCGATTACGTTTGGTTGTATCAACAGCTGCTCCATATTCACAAAAATCGTGCGTATATTTCTAAAAATTCTGATAATTAATTATTATAAGATCAGATTTGGCAGTAATTTATGAAAACCTTGCCTTAAATTGAAAATGTCTGTCGACAGTAGTCTTTGGTGACATCTTTTAAAGATAAATTTAAAGTTCACTGTTTCTACACTATTGTTG